AAGGTTGTACGGAAACTGTTACTGTTCTTTGTTGCCAGGAGGGAACTTCAGGACCTTGTGTGACACAGCTCCTTAGTCTGTGACAAAAGCCAGTGTCCTTCACCCAGCACCCCACAGACTAGCCACATCCAGGGTACCCGGAAGGTCCTGTCAGTAGATGTCAGACTGCAAAATGTCCTCTCAGTCTGGCAAGTGAAAGATAGAGCTGGTGACCCCAGAGAGGGACCCAGTTCCTCTGGGTGCTGGGGACTAACGCCAGGTGGCCAAGGGTGGAGGCGCAAAGGGCAGGAAGGACCTTGGGGACCAACAGAGAGGCAGAGGGACCGTCCAAGGTCACTCAGCTGGTGGATGTGGGAGCTGGGGCTGAGCCCAGGCAGATTGGGTCCGAGATAGAGGACTGGAGACCTGGACCGCAGACCTCATTGCAGACACTCCCAGAGACCTCTAAACCTTCCCTCCCAGTCTGTGCCTGCCTTTCAAGTCTCCTGCCCCGTGCGCTACCCGGATGGGCACCTTCCCCCTAGAATGTTGGGGTTCCCTTTCAGAGCCTCTCTGCCCTCTGAGACTGGACCCGCTTTATGGAATCAGGTTTCTCCCCACTTTGACACCTTCAAGTGCCGGTGCTGTGGGTGTCAGGGAGAAGCCAGGCCTGTGACCTTGGGCACGTGATGCTCCCCACCAGCCCTGCTAATCTTCCAAGTGCCACCTTCCCACCCTTCCCCTAGTTGCGATGCTCTGCAAATCTGAGACATGGTCGTTTACACAAATGCTGAGGCCACTTCTTCACTCCTCTGACCCTTTGGGGTGCTATCTGATCTGGCCTCACCTAAACATCCAGCCCCATTGCCAGTTATCCCCAACACAGGCCTTCCACCCAAGGCTACCCTTGAATAGGCATATGCCCAGAACACTGGGTTTGGAGTCAGAAGGCCTAGGTTCCAATTCTGGTGGGAGACGGGGGAATCTTCCTCCAGGAAGTCTTCCCTGATTACAGGTCCTTGTTGCTGGGCCTTCTTCTTAATCTTACAGCACTAACAGCCTGTGGTGCACGATTTGGAACCGAGGTATACTGTGCAGGTTCTTCAGATGGTGGAATCTAGGTGCCTGACCCTCCTCTGTATGTCATCCATCCACTCAGTTGCATCCAGGGAACAGATGTTCGCTGAGCATCTTCTAGTCTCAGACACTGTGCTAGGCCCTGGGGAGACAGGGGTAAGCAGCACAGGCATGCCCTCAGAGAATGCAGGCTCTCCGCAGGGAACAGAAATAACTGAAAACCGCCAATCATCTGGCCAGTGCTGCGGTAACAGCAGCCCATGTACTGCAGGAACACCCCACACGGTCTGGGGGAGAGCGCAGAGAAAGCTTCGTGGAGATGACATTTCAACTGGGACCCGCTCTGGGAAGGAGGATGGAGCTAGCCCAGAGAGAGAAGGAGGGAGGAGGCCTGTTACAGACAGAAGATCTATCTGTGCAAAGGCCCAGAGGGGTGAGGTGTGGGGCGAGGTGAGCAGAGGACCAGTGGAAGAACCAGAGGTCAGAGTGTGAGCCCAGAGCTGGGGAAGGGGCCAGAGCAATCAACGCCAGCACAGCAGCCAGGTCAAGGCCTCGGGCACTGTGTCTGGGAGTCAGGACCTTCTCCTAAGAGCAGCCAGTAGGTGAGCCCCACTCCTGCTTGGATGTGTAGAGGACAAGGAGCCAGCGTCTAATCTGCCATGCCCATCTGTCCGCAGCTACCGGACCCTGGCCACGGAGCACGAAGCTCTGATGCAGAAGTACTTGCACCTGCTGCAGATCGTGGAGACCGAGAAGACAGTGGCTAAGCAGCTACGGCAGCAGATCGAGGATGGGGAGATTGAGATCGAGCGGCTCAAGGCAGAGGTGACTGTGGGCCAGGGGCACAGGGGTGGCCAGCCAGGGGCCCAGGCCCCAGACCTAGCGTCTCAAACCTCAGGCTCCCCAGGGTCAGGGCGGCACAGGATGGGCAGGAGGGACCAGCTCCCAGCCACAGCTGTGCCAGCCTCCAAACTTAAAATCAGCGATGCTAGCAGCGTGGGAAGGTCCTTTGGTCAGATCTGGGTTCAAAGCCCACCTCTGCCACACAACAGCAGGATCAGAACCGTCTGGCCACATCATATAAGGTCTGTGACTCTGAGCTGAGGAGGGGAATATGAAAACACAGATTCCTGCAATCGGGGTCAGCTACATAATTTGCAGGGCCCAGTGCAAGGTGACAATGCAAAGCCCCAGCCAGGGTCGGGGAAGTCAGTCTCCTCTTCCCACTGCCCACTGCCCCCTCATAGCAGACAGGCCACCCCCAGCTTCAACCTCCAACTCCCCTAACCTCTGCGCCATGATGATGCACTCAGTCCCTAGATTCGGGTGGGCCCCTGCTGAGTCACCCACCTAATGCTCCAAGCACTGCCAGCCAGACAGCTGTCTCCTTGCCCTGCCCGGAGACAACACAGGTGCACACGAAACCCACCCTCTCTGTACCTACACCTAGGTCCCTGCATAGGGCAAAGAGGGGCAGTGAGACACTGCTGGGCTGATCTGACCCATTGCCATCAGAGGTTTGCAGAGGTTTGGGGCCTGTGTTGCTGGGGTGAGGGAAGCAGTCACCTGAGCACCTATCCCAGGGAGACAGGAACTGAGGCTCCAGGCTCCTGGGGCATGCCCCACTGTCCCATCAGCCACCACTTACAAAACACAGATTCAGAGAGAAGATTCTTAAGAATTTCAAGATGGAGACTGCTAAGCCTGAAGCCCCGAGCACCTGGCCTTATGAACACAAGGCCCCATCACACCCATGAAGCCAGCTCTGCCTGGAATGCTCAAAGATCCGAAGTTGCCAGTTCCACCTTGTCGTGCGGCTGCGAAGCTCTGAACTAATAGTAACGTTAACTTGGAACTTCAGATGGATCAAAACTTTCAGATTCAGTGCACTTTCCCCAGCCTCACACCGGGCACCTTCAGACATGCTTCCTTAGTCATTCGCCGCAACCATCCCGAAAGGAACCAGGCTCAGAGAGCTCAAGTCACGATCACACAGCTGGAGGCGTCAGAGCCAGGACTGGAGCCCAGGTTTGCCTGTCCACCTGCCAGTCTCTCCACGCCGCTCATAGCCTCTTCCCTCACGGTTCCCAGGATGGGACTTGTCCCAGCTCTAAACCACCTGGTTCATTCTGGGATCTATTCTAGCACAACAAACATCCTTGACTCCAAGCTGAGCCCGTCAGGGACCAGGGAAGAGGTCTGGCCTCAGCACCCAGTTATTAGCTTTGTGATCAAGGGTGTCCAGGAGTCATTCATTCACCCACTCATTCCCTAAATGCCTCGATCACCTGACCACTGCCTCCTCTTCCCCAGTCTTCTCCCCTCCAGTCACTTGGGGCTCCATAGCAGTGAGCTGTGCACCCCTTGGCCTTTGCACATGCTGGTTTCCTGTTTGGAAAGCCCTCGTCGCCTCCACACTTCCCTGCCTGTTGAAATCCTGCCAAGCTCAAATGCCTCCTCCTGGGGACTCCTGGCCTGGCTGGGAGCGTGCTCCCTGCCCCCTGCTCCCACACTTGCCCACACTCAGGGTGCCTCAGCAGAGCCAGCTCCACGTGTGTCTGTCCCCCACCGGCCTGGCAGGAACTCCTTGAGGGCCGGGTGAGCCCTTACCTGTCACTCCCTGTCCTTTGCCTAGCACACAGTAGGTGTTCGGTGAGGGCTTGGTGAATGAACGGACGTGGGCTCTGTGGTAGATACTAGAGGAGAAGTCTCTACCCTTAGGGTCTGACTGTGGTCAAGTGTGAGCGGTGCTCCAGTAGAGCTTGCAGGGTGAACCCCAGCAGGAAGGAAGTCATTTTATAGCCAAAGGTTCATGTTGCATATGGCCTAAAAAGGGTTTGGGGTTTGTAGGCCAGAGAAGGTGTGGGTGCAAAGGGCAGAGCCCCCTTTGGTGCCGGGGTGCAGAAAGCAGGTCAGTTGTGAGTGATTGCATGTGTGCGTGCAAGCGTGTGTGTGTGTCAGAGTGGCAGCAGAGGCCCATTTGGTGGGAATTTGGAGCAATGCTTCCAATCGAGTGCGTCATCCTCCAGGGCAGAAGATTTTTTTTAAAAGAGTTTGAAAGAAAGGCCAGCTTGGTAAAGCTTTCTGGCTGTAGCCCCGTCACCCCATCTCTCTCTCTCTCTCACACACACACACACACACATGCACACACATCCTGCAGGGCAGAGGGAACCTCTCTGTTCCCCTTGGGCTCTAGAAAGGTGGAAAGAGAGTCCGTTTCCCAGGAAGTAGGCCATCAGGCAGGCAGGAAGCACTGAGAAGCCAAGGAAGTGCTGAGTGACGCCAGTGACAAAGGCAGAGGTCTTCGAATGTCTGAGCTGGGAAAGATCAGAAGACACCGAAATCCATAGAAGAAGGAGGGACTTAATCCAAGGTTGTTCCAAGGTCACCTCCAGCACTGGAGTCCAGGCTCAAACCTGGATCTGCAGGCCCCAGATCCTTGGCCTGTGCCTGCCCCACAACTTACCCCCCCTCTCTGAGGGGCCAGGCCTGACAGAAGGGTGCCTGCTAAGGAATGACTGTTGCCTGGAGGGCCCCAAGCTCTCACGGTCCACCTTTCCTCTGAGAGCCAAATAAAATTCCTCAAGCCCCCTTCCCACTTATTCCCAAGGATCCTCAGGGGCCTTACATTGTCCTGGCCACCTCCTGCTTTTAAATTCTGCTCTCCTGACTCACTGCCTCACTTGCCACAGCAGCTGTCTTTACACTGTCGTTACTGCTCTTTGCTCCCTGGGCGGTCCCACCATGTCAGGATGAGCTAGATGATGCTGCAGTAACAAACACCCCCCGAATCTTAGTGGCTGGAAGCAACCAAGGTTGCTTTCTCACTCACACTACATGTCCAGGGTGGGTTCTGCCCCACAACCTTCTCACTCTGAGTCAGGAACACGGGCTGACGGGGCTCCCATCATCAGGAAATTCACCAGTCTCGCTGCAGGGGACAGGAACGTGGGAAGTGATGTGACACCACTGCCCACATTTCTTTAAGCAAAGCAAGTCACGTGACCACACCCGAGTTCAGGGGATTGGGAGATACCATCCTGCCGTGTCTGAGGAGGAGAACCAGGGTATCCAAGAAAGCCCCCGTGACTACCCAACCGCGGCTCCTCCTTCAGTTCTCAAACCTCATGATACTGGCTGCCGTGTGTAACAGACTTTCCAAAAGTCTTGGATATAAGAGAGAGGGGGTTCCGTTACTGAAATAGAAAACAGCTTAAAAATGAATGGAAGACACCCCTGCCGTCATGTTGTTCAGCCTTTCTGCTGCGAGGGTTTGACCTCCTCTCCTCCCCCTCCCACTGGCCACTTTGTCGGTGGGGGTGTCACTTATAATCTGTTTATCAACCAAGACCCTCACCCTGTATCCAGTGATGTTGGAACCGGCTCATATCACCATGCAAGAGCCAGCTGTTAAACGTTCAAGAATTTCACCAGTTAGTTATTCAACCTTTGAAAGTAGCTTAAAATGGGCTGAGGTAGGAACGCTCACACCGTAGAAACTGACAAGTGCTACCAGTCAGTTTTCCTTGCAGAGAGCTGGGTCTCTGCTGAGAGTAAGGATTTACCAACATATTATCGTCTGCATCTCTTTTCAGAACCAGCTACAGAATTTGCAGGGCCTGGGGCACAGTGAAAACACAGTGCCCTTAGGAAGTTCAAAGCCACAACAGGAGAGCCTTTGATCAGCATTGGGCCCTTCTAAGCCCAGGGCTCTGCACGGGTCACACATCCAGGAGTCAGCCCTGTCTCTGCTCGCACTATGTACTCTCCAACCCTATAGCCCTCGCCATCTCTCCCTGGAGGGGACAGGAGAGCACACCCAAACAAAAGTCTGCACAAAACTTCACAAAGTATAGCTCTCCACCACTGTCTCTTCTACTCCATCTAAACAGCCCTATCAGGCCTCATCTTTCATAACCAAAAAGTGCTAAGGACCACCTAAAACAAAAGGAATGTCCACAGCTGAGAAGAACCCTCCCCGCCTCTAGAATGCTCAGTTTGGCACCATTTCATTGTTTTAACAGTGATTTTTCTCCTATTTACGATTGCAGGTAAATTTGGAGAGCAAAGGCAGGCCCTAAAGGCGCAGGATAGGAATTGAGATATAGTCATAATATTTTACTGGCTTGGAAGCACTCAGACTCCTGGAAGGCTGACTCTGGAAGAAACTGAGGAGATCTTTAGTTCAGGGTTTAAAAATGAAAATTTAGGCATGGAATCTGTTTTACAACCTTTGACATGGTGCCCCACTATATCCTATAGGTCAGTGAGGGGACTGCTCTGGGAGAAGTAAGAAAGGGTGGCCGTGACCCCTAACCTTGCAGCCCCTCCCCAGCTCCCCTCTCATGGTGCACCCTACATGCCTTGAGTCCTCCTTCCCATCCCTCCTCCTGCCATCCTCACCACTGCCACCCTGGCACATAACACCCTGTCATACCTGTGCCTTTGTTCACACCATTCCCTCTGCTCAAATTCCCTCTATCCCACAGCCCTCTTGTTGGGCTCCTATTTGTCCTTCAAAACCCCTTCTGCATAGCCCTTGCCACTTTCATGGTGAGACACTACCTTTGCAGTAGGTGCACACCTCTCTTCTGGTTTTGCCTTATCAGATTAAAAGTTACCTCTGTGGGTGTCTGACCCCCTTCTTAAACTGGAAGCTCCTCCAGGGAAGGGATTCGACTTACCCACCTCCAGCTGTGTCTCACCAATGCCCAACACAAAGACCCCGTCAGGACACGCTGGTGGTGTTGGCATAAAGGGAGACTGAGATGGGCATCTGTGGGGCTTGGAAGATGCCGGAAGATGTCAAGAAGGACAGAGAAAGAACTGAGTTCTGTGGCAGCTGTTTGAAAAGCAAGAAATACAGAGATCTTTAGTAAAACCTTGGAGGCTAACAAAAAGAAAAAGGCCTGGATTGATTCCATCAGCAATTACTTCCCTGACCAAATGTATCCTGGATTAAAGACATTATCTCCAGAGAAGGAAGTAGGATGGGGCAGAAGCCGATGCTCAGTGCCTCAAAGGGGTGTGGCTAACAGAGTTCTCCTGTGATGGTCAAGAAGGCTAGACCACGGGTGGCGAGCGGGCAGGGGCCAGCAGAGACACTTGGCATTGAGCCAGGTCGGACAGGCAGAGTTGGGCTCTAGCCAGCGGGCTGGGGCATGAGCCAGAGTCCCCACCCTGCATGTCCTTCATTGATGAGGTCAACTGAGCAGGTTTCGTAAACCAACCAAGCAAAGCAGGGTCCAAAGCAAATCCATCTCCAGAAAAGACCTGCCAGGGTTGGAGAGAGACTGCCTCCATGAGCTCGCCTGCCACTGGCTCCTGGAGGGGATGGGCCGTACATAGCCCAAGACTTCTGCAGCGCCCCCAGGCTCACGAGTCTCCAGAGCTTTGCCCACCTGGCTTGATCCTGAAACAAAGACTCCAAGGCTGCCGGTGTGGCCTGTGCATGTAGCATAGCGCCTGACCTCATTGCATCTATTTTTTGCCCTGGTCCCTGCTGAGTAGATGTCCTGGAATGCCTCTCTCTGAGGCAAGTGCCATCAGCTTTAGCTATAGACTACACACACACTCACTCCCCGCCATCCTAAAGAAAGAAGGGTTCCGTGTGCAGATCCCAAAACTGGCAAAGAAAGCAGACTGGCAAGGAGGTGATGATATCAGGCCAGAGGTGGGTGTTGCCTGGGCACCCCTGCATCTCTGAGCTCTCCAAGAGCCTGCCTGTGCGGGTGTGCATGAGTGTGAGTGTGTCTCTTAGCCCTCTAGAGAGCAGATCGAAGAATCAGCCTTTATTTCAATGTGCAGGTGTTCTCAGAGAATTGAAAGAAAAGGAGTGGAGGAGAGAAAAAAGAAAAGCCCGTGTGGGCACTGACTATTTCTCAGCCACTCTGCAAGCGCAGGCCAGGGTAATTTTAGCAACCCGCGAGTGGAGAGCGGGTAACGGTTCCATTTTGCTTTCAAAGTGCTCCATTCGCTCAATTGTGAGAGCCCATTCATCCTGCGGTTCAGCAAGTGGCCTTGAGGGGACAAAGCCACGTGCTCTGAAGAGGAGCAGCGCCGGCTTTGTGGCGGCGTTTGTGGATTCCCCTGATCTGCTATCTTTAGACACGTGGGGCTTGGTGACTGCAGTGGTTTCTGGTGATTGAGGTTTTTGTTGCTGCTGTCCTCTGATTCTTTTTTTAATTTACTTATTTATGTAGCCAACAAATATGTGTTGAGTGCCCAGCCCCACGCTAGGTACCAGCAGCATATTAATGAAGGAAACGGCACCATCCCTAGCCCGCCGAGCTCACCGCCGGGATGGAGGAGTGAATAGGCGACACTAGCATTTTCTCAGGAAGGTCGGCAGCGCGGTGAAAACCCCGGTGGAGGACACCCAGCAGAAACTCTCAGACACTCGAGTGGCGGCAAGGAGCCCTGCCCGGGAGGACGCACCACTGGCCTGTCCACCTGAAGAGTGCCAGCGGCCCCGGCCGCTGTGCGGCTTAAGGTGCCCCTTCTCCTGGGCGCCACTCCCTTGGTTTTGACCTTGCTGCTGGGCTGACCTCTCTGATCCCCAAATCTGGCAAATGAAGATTCTCAGATCAGCTCAAACATTCGTTTCAAGGGCTGTTCCATTTTTCTAGGCCACAGTTTCCAGGTTGTGCTCCAAAGAGGGAGGGGACAGTGAAGCCATCCATGCTTGCATCTGAGGTCATGCTAGGGATCCAGGTTGGTTTTGTTTGAAAAAATAAAGGGACTCCCTAAATGTCCATCAATGGATGAATGGATAACAAAATAGGGTCAGTACATACAATGGATGTTACTCAGCCTCTAAAAGGAAGGAAATTCTGCACGTGCTGTGACAGGGATGAACCTGGAGGACATCAAACTGATGAGAGAAACCAGCCACAGGAAGACAAATACTGTGAGATTCCACTCAGACGAGGTGCCTAGAGAAGTCCAATTCCCTGAGACAGAACGTAGAATGATGGGGGCCGGGGCTGAGGGGAGGGGAAAATGGGGAGTTACTGTTTAACAGGGGCAGAGTTTCAGTTTGGGACGATAAGAATGTCCCGGAGATGGATGGTGGTGATGGTTGCACAACAGTGTGAATGTACTTAATACTGCTGAACTGTACACTTAAAACTGGTTAAAATGGTAAATTTCATGTATATAACAATAAAAAGTCAAAAATAAAGGGACTGAGGGTTTAAGGAGTAGGGAAAAGAATCCCAGATTACAAATGAGGTTCTTGCAACCCAGAGAGCAGAGAGATCTCACCAAGGGTCACTCGGAGTTGGAGCCCAGCTGCTGTGGACCCAGATGGACAGGCTGCCAGTCCAGTGCTCACTCAGAGACCTCTGGCTCACGACCTCACTCAGAGCAAGGGACATGAGCTGCAGTACCACCGGCGCTCAGGGAGACCAGACGAGGCACTCGCTCAGCACGCCTCTCCCACAGGTGGCCAGAGGGGTGGGGCCTCCACCAGCCATGCCCCTCTGGGCACCTGACCTGTGTTTCTGTTGCAGATCGCGTCCCTGCTCAAGGACAATGAGCGCATCCAGTCCACCCAGACCATCACCCCCAACGACGAAGACAGCGATATTAAGAAAATTAAGAAGGTCTGCACCATACCTCGGGGCTGGCACAGCTGCCCCAGCCCTCTTTAGAGAGCCTCCTGGCACAGCCCAGGGTCTGCAGTGTCACCTACTGCCCCACTTCTCCCAGAGCCTGCCACCCTCACCTCTGGTCCAAAGGCAGAACCAACAGCCCCTTACCCCTGACCTACACCTGGTCGAGCCATTTCTTCTGGTTGTCCCTGTGAGGTAAGGTGGTGTGGCCCCATTTTATAGATAAGAAAACTGAGGCTCCGAGAGAAAAGGGAGTGGGTGGAGCCAGGGCAGGAACCCAGGCTGTGAGATTCGAAGTTGAGAGCTTTCCTCACAACGGCCTCAATAAAACCCCAGGCCACTTCCCCACTGTCATAACCTTGTATGCCTGCCCACCCCCCAGCCACTGTGGTGCAAACACTTCCTCTCACAGCTGCCCTCTTTCATTCCCAGCAGACTTCAGCTTGAGAACCAGTCTCTGTAAGGCCCCATAGTTGGCCCCATTGGTCTGACTCTATTATAGAGTCCAGGAGGGGCAGGCATCTCGGGATGTATCGGAGATTTGCCCAGCAGCCGGAGGACGGACCAGCACCACAGGCCACCTCGTGGAGAGGGGTGTGGAGGGGAAGAGTATGGTCTGTGCTTGCAGCTCGCTAGACTTGAAGCAGGAGAGCCTGATTCACCCTAAGGAAAACAAGTGAAATGGAAAGTCCTACTAGTTGAGGGTGTAAAAGGACCCCAGTGCCATCCAGACCAGAAACTGCGAACCGGCGACCCACCAGCCGAGTTCAGCCTACCAGCATGTTTGGGGTTTTTAGCCCACACGGTGGCTTTTTTTTCCCCCTTTTTAATTTTTTCACCAGTGCTTTAAAATCTAAACATTTCACATGAAAATCTGTATTTCTGGTTTCTCAAAAATAGAAATAGCTAACATTCATTACGCACTTTCTATGTGCCAGACACTGTTCTCAGAGCTCTGTGCAGATGAATTCGTTCCTAACTAGAAGCCCTCTGAGGTTTTATTATTAACTGCATTTCCCATGTGCAGGAGCTGAGGCACAGAAAGGCAAAGTGACTTGCCCAGGTCACACAGCCAAGTATTTGCAGACATTTAAACCCTGGCCACCAAGCTCCAGAGCCCACGTCCTCGGTCAGTAGGGCACACCATCTCCTGGAAAGCAGGAGGTCCTGCAGCCTTGGGCCCATCTCCTACACGCAATGACTGTTGGCCCCAGGCCAGGAGCTGCCCTATTAGGGCCCACCCTGCCGGCTTCATGATCTATAGGACCTGCCAGGCCCCCATGGGCATCAGGATTTGCCACCAGTGCCACCCAGGTCTGAACCAAGTCCTGCCCAGGCCCTTCCTTCTCTACTATGGCCCCACTGGCTTCCTGGCCCAGGTTCAAAAGCCATTTTGTTTGGGACATTTTGTTAAGTACCAACTGAAATCCACCTCTGTTCTTTTATTTTCACCCTCCTGGGGCCTCAGAGCAAGCCTTCCTGCCTTCAAAGAGAAGTGTAAGGGCTGAGGCCAGGCCTCTCCTTCCTGTGACAAAGGTCCCTGGCCGACGGGTCCGCACTCAGCAGGCTGCACCTGCTGTTCATGGCCAGTGCCCTTTCCAGCTGATAATATTCTGATGAGTGCTTGGCCCGTGGCCCCTGCATCCCCAGACCCCCCAGCCCGCACGGCCCAGCACCCTTGCTCCTGGTGGCCTGTGTGCAGCCCCTGAGCTCACACACAGCTCAGCAGCAGGAATGGCAAGGAGCTCAGTGGCGCCTTGATTGGGAACGTGCAAATCCTAGAACAATTCTGTGTCTGTGAATCAAGGCCCTTCCCAATTTCTTGCCAAAACGAGGCCACGCCAAGCAGCCCGACTCCAAGACGGGCGAATCAGGTGTCCAGTGCACCTCCCCGCAGAGGCAGGGGAGAGGCTCCAGGCAGGCGCCAGCGAGGCCCAAGCAAATTAACTAATTTGCCATGTTCTCTTCAATTTGATAATCGCCCTCTTTCCAGGCAAGCTTTAATTGAAACTTCTGGGCTTTCAGGCCAGTCATTAGACGAGATGAGATGTGAGCCGTGCCCAGCACAGCCCAGCAATCCTCTGTCCTCAAGCCACCTCCCATGATGGGGACTCGAGGCCACACTTTTCCCCCTTCAGAGAATGCTCCTTCCAAGGCTACCTGGGGGGTCTGGTCTAAATACAGGGGTCTGGGCCGAGGCCTGGGGATTTGCATTTTTAACAAGCTCGCAGGAGGTGCTGATGCTGCCAGTTGGTGGACCACAATTTGAGTCCAGCCATCATTTCATTAGCCCCATTGCACAGTTGGAAGGTTGGCTCAAAGGGCCCTTGCAGGCAGCAACACCAGACCCAATCTTTGAGCTCTTTTCCCTACACGGCCAGCGTGGGGAATGACAAAGCCCCGGTCCCTGCCCGTGGGGCGCTCACAGCCTGAAAGAACAAAAGCCGCGACTAACTAATGGGAGACTCTCGCGCTGGTCCCCAGGTGCAGAGCTTCCTGCGGGGCTGGCTGTGCCGGCGCAAGTGGAAGACCATCATCCAGGACTACATCCGCTCGCCCCACGCCGACAGCATGCGGAAGCGGAACCAGGTGGTGTTCAGCATGCTGGAGGCCGAGGCCGAGTACGTGCAGCAGCTGCACATCCTCGTCAACAACTTCCTGCGCCCGCTGCGGATGGCCGCCAGCTCCAAGAAGCCCCCCATCACGCATGACGATGTCAGCAGCATCTTCCTGAACAGGTGCGCACCCCCGCAGGTTGGCCCCGCCTCGGGGCGCTTCGCCAAGACGGGGAGAGGGAGGCTGGCCGGCACTGAGCCCAGCTCTGACACCAGCCCTCATCTAGTTCCCACCAAATGCAGTTGAGGAAACTGAGGCCCAGAAAAGGAAGGAAGCTGCTTGAGGTCCCGTGGCTAGAAGCAAGGGCCCCAACAGTTACAGGCAGGAGTACAGATGGAGGCTAAACTAGTGGTTCAGCTGGGGCAGTGATTGGAGGCAGTTTTGATTGTCAAAACTTGGTGAGGGTTGGGGGGAGGGTTTGCCACTGGCATCTAGTGGGTAGAGGCCAGACATGCCGCTAAACCTCCTACAGTGCAGAGGACAGTCCCCCACAGCAAATAACTATTCCACCCAAAGTGTCAATAGTGCCAGGGTTGACAAACCCTGGTTTAAATATTTGAGAGTTATAAATCAAGCTAGAAAAAAACAACTGTGTTCCATTCTTCTACCTTGATGCTGTCATAATGATCTAGAGGTTAGGTCCAAAGTCTTAGTCTCCTTAGAGTTCTGCTCTACCCCACACGACCCACAGATCTTATGAACAAATCGTGACCTTGGGCATTAATATGGGGTTTGGTACCTCAGAAGGCTGGGCTGGCGGCCACCCTTCTGCTGTCAACCTCTTTTTAAGAGAATATTCTTAGGAAATGGTTTAAATGAGCTTTTTGGTAGGCGGTAAAACTGAGTGAACTAGGTAAAAACAACAAACGTGAAAACATATCAACAGAGCGTAATTTACCAATGATTCTCACCTAAGAATTAAAGTAAATCCCTCTGTGCCCCAGGTCATTGGTTCAACTGCTTTTCTCTTAAAATATTCATCGTTCAGTCATTTCACTAATTCCAACCAGCCCTCATCCAGGCCCCCTGCAGGGGTGTTTGGGACCCAGGGCCACTTTCCCCGTGCCCTGTTCTTTCCCTCTACCTGCCAGTGTGCTGTGGCGAGTTAGGGACCTGTGGGACACCGGGAGGAGATGGGAGACGCATTGGGTGTGGGTCATACCTGGGTCTGATGCCCAGAGGTTGAGCTGGAGAGGCTGAAAGTCACTGGGAGAGGGCCAAGGCTGATACCATGGGTATGGATGAGGCAACAGAGTGCGGGGACACGGTGGGGGGTGAGCAGGCAGGAGGAAGGGAACAGCTTTTGGCCTCTTAGACCTTCTAGAAATTCTGAATCACTGAGCCATAAAGGGTTGGCTTTTTACTACAAATATTGAACACTATTTTTAAGCATGAAATAAATGTTTTTATTCTTTTACTAAAACAAAGAAAATTGATATTATCATTTTGTGAAATCAGATAAGATTTACTCCAGAAACTACAATTGGGTCTTTTAAAACCCAGTGACCTGGCATTTGGCTGCAAAGTGTGAAGAACTTGTTTCTTCCTGGGTAAACCCTGGACAGCTCAGCTAGATTCACAGATTCTCAAACATGAGTGCAAGGTCCCACCCCAAGTTTCTCAATCTGTAGGTCTGGGGTTGAGCCCAGGGACTGCATTTCTAACAAGTTTGCAGGTGCTGCTGCTCCTGCGAGTCCTGGACCACACTGAAACGAGAGGCTTCACACACGTCAGGGGACTGCCTGTGTTGGAGGCTTGGCCACGGCCTCTTGAGAAATACTTTGGGAAGCATTGTTAGAGTTTTTTCTTTGTTGTTTGTGCTTTTGTTGCATTGCAGGCCACAACTGCAAACTTCCGGTGACCATTTATCATAACCACTAAGAGATGAAAGGGTCCTTTTGTGTTTTTAATCTTTGCGTAATTTTGTTCTACTGCACTGATCTTTACTGGAATTCTTTTAGCCTGGAATCTTTGGTTTAGAGTATTCACACTGAACTCACAGAATGTGTCCAAAAGTTGTTTGAAGAAAATCACAATGTGATTTTATATTTTTATCTTTTAACAACTGCATGGGTCAGATTGGATGCCTTCAACTGAGAATCAAATGAAGGAAGGGAGGAAAGTCCCCTCCCCTCCTGGTTCCTTCTGGGCCCCTGCAAGGGCCTGATTCTCCTTCTCTGCGATGGGCCCAAGGTTGTCTGTTGCCTATCTTAGCAGTCTCGTTGATCCTGGTCAAAACGGCAGCGGCAGCCTGATCAATCCATAAGGCCTCTAGAATACGGACTCTAGCAGTCACTGGAAATACTGAGCAGGGAGTATACTTGCCTCTTGCGGATATTAGAGAATCTAGCACAGAGCCCAGCACATCCCATGTGCTCAGAAGAGTTAGACATCATTACAACCAAAAAGCTTCACAGTGATGCACCCTGGGAGAAGCTGAATTCAAATCTAACACAGAGAGAATGAACACTTCCCAGCGCATTCTACAAGGCCAGCATTACTCTAATACCAAAACCAGAAAAAGACATTTTGAAGAAGAAGACTACAGACTAATATCTTTCATGATCATAGATGCCAAATATTATCAAATTGAATCCAGAAGTATATAAAAAGGGTAATTCATCATGACCAAGTGGAGTTTATCCTAGGAATGCAAGGCTGGTTCAACATCATAAATCAGTCAGATGTCTTTTGTTGTATTTTCTTACTGTATTAAGTAAGAAGAACTGATGATCATATTAATGCATGCAAATCTGATGTGGTTAACTTCTCTCCCCTACTCTGGTCCCTGCTCTCAACTGGGAGTGGGCCAGAGCCCTTTCCTTTCCCTGGGGCCCAGGGAGGGGTCAGAAGAACTAGAAAATGACTGCCTGATAATCATTCACACCTCACTATATGACCCATTGGGTACATGAGACAGTATAAGCTTCACTGTCTTAGCCTCTATGCTTTTCGTGCACACAAAGATTAGCTGAAATTATTTTTTCAATAACCTACAGAAACCCCACACAGCACTTTGCATGATTAAACGTTATGGACTGCACTCACCACGTTGAGAAGGTGCTTTGCGGGGCCTGCTTTGTGCTGGGCTCTCTGTAAGTGCTTGGCCCACGTGATTTATGATCCTCAGAGACGCCCCATGAGGCTGGCACCAGAGCTCAGAGAGGTGACAGGGTGTGCTCAGGGGTTCAAGTGGGATGGATTTTTGAGCCAGTTCTGTTTTATGATAAGACCTGTGCTTCCCCCTGCTGCCCTGTTAAATAATGGGCTGGAATATTCTCCATTGACCCACCCCTCATCCTCCTAACCCCATCCCTACTTCCAGAGTGTGGCTCATTACAGCACAAGTCTCAGCACACACTCCTTCTCACTCCTGCACCATGAGAGAACTTTGCCTCGTGTGTGAGCCCAGCCTCCCCTCTTGCTGTGTAAGTGCTCTGGAGGCAGCATCCAGGACTTGAACCTCCCAGGTCTCCCCACTTCAGACTATGGCACAGAGGTCTGTATGTATCACAAGCCAAGTGCAGAGGCTGCCAACTCCCTCATTCGACTGCATTTCCACACATAGCTTTCCCTTGGATTTGCTTTTAGGCTGACGTGTACAGCCACATTGGAAACCTGATGCTAATCTGGTGATTTCATTTGCTGGCACTCATTACAGAGAAGTCCTTGAGAAGAGAGAGACCTCTCTCCAGGTTAACAGATTCATCGCGGGTGTTGCAGAACCAAAGAGGGGGGTTAATTGTGTGCTTCTCGAATAGGGGGAAGGAGGATCTTTGAGCCAACACATCTGCAGCAGGTTCTGTTTACCCAAGACAGTGAGCGTATGGGCTTGGATTATTTCCCTTTAATAAAAACCATGCCCAGGGACATGTGCTGGGAACCACAGGCATTGCCCCGTGATGAGAGGCATCCTGCCTGGGTGGCAGATGGTTTCTATCTTGATGCCTGCTCTGATTGATTGGCAATGGCTGCCTGGAGTCTTGGGTTGAGAAGGATGATGGGGCTCATTAGGGGAGCATGCTGCCATTAATTCGTCACGTCTGCGTGAGCTGGAGAGGAGAGACAGGCGCCTGGACCCATGAGGAGTAACACTCAAGGGGCAGAGGAGTGGAGATGCCTGGTTCTGCCCTTTGCTGGCTGAGTCCTGTCTACCTAGGACTGGCCTCGGGCAAGTCACACGCCTTTCTGGGCTCAGGGAGGGAACCAGGCAAAATGAGCACTTTCCAAGCAGACAGGTCACTTCCTCTCGCTAGAACATTCTTCCCACCTGCTGTCCTTTCCCACTTTCTTTCCGGCAGCTATCTCCTACTCTTTCTTCGTGTCTTTCCTTGGCTCTCATATCCCTGGCCACCCCCATGCTCCTTGTCATGGTTGGTTTATGTTCTTTGGTTGAATGCTCCCAGGGCCCCTTTGCTGCCCCTTACGTAGCATTCATCACACTTAAATATTTTCTTTTGTGTCCAGGTCTCCCCCAGGACTATAAATGTGCTCTGGGAGGGACAGGGCCACAGAATACAGTTGCACTGGCTGTGCACTGCACAGTTTAGGGACACCATTCATACAGACTAGGGATCAGCAAATTTTTTCTGTCAAGGGCTAGATAGTAAATATTTTTGGGCCAGAGGGTCTCTGTCAAAACTAAGTAGTCTTAGACAATCCATAAATAAATGAGTGTGACTGGGTTCCAGTAAATCTTTACCTATGGACACTAAAATGTGAATTTCATATAATTTTTACACATCATGGAATAGTCTTTTGATTTTTTTCAACCATTTAAAAAATATAAAAATCCTTCTAAGCTTGCAGACTGTATAAGAAACAGAAACTGGGCCAGCATTCTGGATGGCAAGATTCCATGTCACAAAAATGTCATTTTCACCCAAAATACACTATATGCTTAATATAATTCCAATCACTTTGCAGTGTAGCAAAGTGATTTTAAAGTTCAGCTGAAGGAATAAATATGTGTAAATGGATAATAATATTCTGAAAAAAGAACAATGAAAGAAACATTTCCTATATTAATTAAAATATATTATAAAGTTTACAAATATATTTAAAGTAATGAAAACAGCCTGAGACTGTTGCCAGAATAGGCTAATAGATCATCAGTGTAAAATAGAAAGTCCAGAAACAGACGTAAGCGTGCATGAGAATTTAGTAACAATAAAAGGCAGCCTGGGGGGAGAGCGTAGCTCAGCGGTAGAGCGTGTGCTTAGCATGCATGAGGTCCTGGGTTCAATCCCCAGTCCCTCAAGTCAATCAATCAATAAACCTAATTACCTACACCCCCCCCAAAAAAAGAATGAAAAAAGAATTTTTAAAACCCACCACATGCAAAATCAGTGGCAAATAGCTAAGCAAAAATATCCACAGTGTACATGTTAGAGGATATGCTTAATGTATAGTTATTTAAAATTAATAAAGGAGAAAGTAGTAAATGGGCATGACTTGACAATTCCCAAAAGAAGAAACTCAGATGGCTAGTAGGTAGGGAAAATGTCCAACCAGCCCCACTAACAACGATCTCTTAAAGCCAGTGGAATCAAAGTGAGACCATGTTTTCTTGTTAGATGGGTAACAATGGCAGGCTCTGGGTAGTAGGGTTACAGGTGACATCCTCACAGTTTATAGTGCTTTAAACATGGAGGCTTCATCAGCTACATTTTTGTAGTCCCAGTTTATGACGTTCCTAATATGCTACTCTACCAGTCTGTGCAGTCGGAACCTAAGAAGGTTCGTCCTGCCGTCGTCTGCTGGAGCTGCCTGGGAATGGGGCCCTGCGTCTTGCTGTGGCGGCTCTCAGGGTTCCCCAGAGCCTCCTGGCTCCCCAGGAGCCCCTGGAAGTCCTCTTACCTCCACCCTCCCCCCACTCAGGGCCCATGTTCCCCCCTCTGTGTGCTCTCACGTGCCCTGGACTGGTCTCTTGAACTTTCTGAAGAGTCTTCACATGTGGAATACTAAAATTCTTAAAATCAGTACAGTACATGTTTATCTACCTAATAACTAGTTCAGGGACCACAGACAGACAGACAGACAGACAGAAACCAGCCTTGTCAAGGGTCAATCTGCAGCAGACTTGCTGCCTGAAAACTGAAAATGACTTCAGCCATCAGGTGGGGGCCCTACTCCCCAAATCAGTGTGTCACCACACGTGGAGGGGCCACTTTTCCTGGAACTTCAGAGGGGTGATGGGTAGGACCCACTCAGGAGTGAGGACTCAGAACCCTGCCTCTACTTGGCTGCTTGTTGCTTCTGCCGGTAGACGTTTTCCTTCCCTCCTGCGCACCCTGTGGCTACGACAGAGTCGCAGACTTCGCTTTTCAGCCCGGAGTTGCTGTGTTCTCTCCCCGACCGCTCACTCCATCCCCCCTTTCTCCTTGCGGCCTCTCCCTCTTTTCTCTCTCATGCTCTCTCCCTCCCAACTCAGTCTGTTTTCTCTGCAGAGTGGGGGTGCACAGGGCATTTCAAACCCCCCTGGAGTCACAGAGTCTCGTGCCTCTCAGGCCCGCTGTGTACGTGAGACCCCAGGCCCTGCCCCCCACAGGCCTCCTGGGCTGTGCAGCTCAGGGGCGTCTCTGTGCCCACCCAGTGCCTTCCACGCCCTGCTCTCGTCCTGAGAAAGGGAGACCCCAGGGTGGGGCCCAAACCCCTGGGAGAGGGGGCGACACCCAGTGACACAGCCCCAGGGTGGAAAACACCAGGAGCTCAAACAGCCACTCAGAGAGCTGGGAAGGCGCAGAGGGAGGGAGCAGAGAGCACACCGCGCAGACTGTACCCAAGGCGGGAGCCGAGATGTGGCAGAGAAAGACAGAGAACAGTGCAGGGAGAGAGGAGGGCACGCTCAGAGCCCTGACTCCGGGGGCCCCTTCTTGCTCTCTGGACTCAGTTTTCCTTTCCGTGAAGGAGGTGCACAGCAGAGTCCTTTTGGCTTCCCCTGTCTGGTTCAAGGCAAGTCCAGACAGGCTGGGGAGACCCCTGGGTCTCCACGGAGCAGGAGCTGGGGTGCTGCACAGGAGCACGGGAGGGACAGTGGGGAGGGAGGGGCGGGGTGGGGGGCGCCACGGGAAGGAGCAGAAGCAGCCTCTCTCTTGGGCTCTTTGTTTGTCCTGGGAGACAGGCTAGGTCTGTGCTCTGGGGCCAGCAGCTTGGGGAGCAGAGGGCAGGGAAGTGGGTGCCAGGAGGGGAGTCAAGGCACACGTGGCTGCCCAGGCAGAGCCCAGAGAACCGATGAGAAAGCGTGCTCCCTGGAGCATCTTAGGAGGTGACAAAGCAGGCCCTCCAGAGATTCTGGGATTTCTTTCTTTTCTTTTTTTCACTTTTCTAACTTTTCCCCCAAAAAGGGATGGTGGAAAGCTAGCATTTTCTGAACATCTGCTATGCATCCGTACTTTCAAGGGTTACCTCATTTCACCTCCACATTTTATACAGAAGGACCCATGTGCCAGAGACGTTAGACTTCTTGCTTAAGATCGCACAGCTCGGAAGGGGCAAGAGGCAGATTCCAGCCCTGCTCTGTGTGGGTCTCAAGCCCTAGCTCTTCCCACATCATCAGTGGGTTTTCCTCCATGCTCTCCAGAGCCCTGGGTTCCTCCAGGATCCCTCAGGGATACCCCCAGCCGGTGGGGACTTGAGGGGACAAGGGAGGCTGGCAGACAGAAAGCGCCCCTCCACTGCCTGTGCTTGACTGAACGCTCTGCAGTCGCCATCCCAACGTTCTTAACTGTTGCTTCACAAGGGGCCCATGGGTGTGCTTTGCGCTGGGCCCTGCAAATTACACGGTCCGTCCCACTGATGGGGCTCTCACGTAAGGTCTCCCCTGAGCCGCTGTGGTCCCATGGGCAGTGACAGCCCCTGCCTCTCCCCTGGGGCCCCTCTGCTCTGCTGGACCTGGGGGACGGGGCACCCTAGGGGGCAGGAACTCCTGGCCAGAGCTCACCCTTTGCTTTCTCTTTCAGCGAGACCATCATGTTTTTGCACCAGATCTTTTACCAAGGCCTGAAGGCCCGCATCTCCAGCTGGCCCACTCTGGTCCTGGGTAAGTAGCAGCCCTGGCAGAGGTCCCCAGCTTTTCCTGCCCCTGCCCCTGCCCCCGCCCCCACCAAGAAGTCCCTGGGCGGGGGCCACCCCTACTGGCTGGTGGCACTTCTGTCCTTCCAGAGTGTAACAGAGTGGCCCCTTAGAGACCCACAGAATCCCACTGAGGGAGCAGAAGAGGAAAGACAAGTTGGCCAAAGCTACATTTCTAGGAGGAAGCGATATATTTTTAGTGTCCTATCTGCTTTTCTCTTTTAAAAATAATATATATGTACCCATTTGAGAAACTTTGAGAATCCAGAAAAGTAGAAAACGTTTAAAAATATCAACCATAGTTCTGCTTCCCAAAGATAACTACTGTAAACACTTGGGTCTGTTGCCTCCCTATTTTTTCCTATGTGTACATCTTGGGGGATTTTTTTCCCATTTTACATAATTGCAAACATACTGAATATAGAATTTGAATCTCACTGTGAGTTTTTTTTTGTTGTTTAACATTATTGCATAAGTGTTTTCTCATGCTGAAGGCATACTTTTTCATGGCTGTATAATGCTCCAGTGCCCTGTGAACCTGCCACCCTCTATGCAACCATCTCCCTTTGTTGGCTCTTAAAGTTGTTTTACCTTTTTACTGTTAGAAATAATCATCTCTGGAAAGAAGGGTATAGCTCAGTGGTAGAGTGCGTGACTAGCATGCATGAGGTCCTTGGTTCAGTCCCAGTACCTCCATTAAAAATAAATTTAGAAAAAAAAGAAAAGAAATAGTCATCTCTGCTTATGAAGTTTTCTCCATATTGGAGAGTGTTTCCCTGAGGCAGGTAGTCAAAAAGTAGAATTAGTGGAACAACAGGTGTATACGCATTGTCACATTGCCCTCCAAGCCCTCACTACTGTGAGTGGTGTATGGGAGTGCCGCCTGCATCTCGCCCCTCCACACCAGGTGTCATCTTCCTTCCACTCCAGTCAACAGGGAAAGGTGAGTGTTGGCATCACCTCCGCAATGGAGTCAAGGGAACAGGCTCCGGGAAGTGAAGGAACAACTGGAGGCAGCAGAGGCTCTCCTGCCCGCAAGCCAAGAGGCTTCCAGGGGAGTGGGCACTATTTTTGTTTTTCTCAAGTCAAAGACCCCCATTTTCCCCAAGACCGCAATTAGAAGCAGCCTTAGAAAGACAAGGTCTACACTTCCCTGCGACCACAGAGCTGAAGATGCTGCCCACTGGGCAGCTGAATACCCCGTGTAAGAGCTCCCACTTAGTTTGTTACGAGGAAGGCTTGTCTTTCTTTTTTGATGGGGTTTGTAAGCAGGGGTTTCAGTGGTTCCCCTCTGTCCCTGCAAGTGTTGGAAGGCAGATTTGGGCTTTCAAGAGCTGGAAGGGCAGGATATTAGATACCCAGGAGATTGAGACGGACGGGCCAGCAGGGGATCCAGCTCCCTGAGCCAGGGGCTGCAGAGCTGGGGCGGTCAGGAAGAGCAGGGACGGATGGGCGAAGGGATGGACAAGGTGAGAGGACAGAGACTCAGGAGGGCATATCATGTGGTGGAAAGCCCTGGTTCTGGGCCAGCTACTGACTCATCTTGTGACCTCAGATGGGTCATTGTCACAGATGGGGCACTCTGGGAGAGAGGCCTCCTGGGGAGCCTTCAGGATGACAGCGTGGCAGAGCCAGAGCAGAGGGGAGTTGTCTGCGATGCAGTTACAACAGAGGCCTCAGCCAACCCCATGGAAAGCTCTGGAACTGAGGTGGCCCCTCAGGGATGTCCCAAATCAAGGCAGAGGCTGGCCTTTACACCTCACTTGGACCTGCTGTTGGGTCCAGCTTGTGCAAAGCAATTTTCTTTAGCTGAGAGAGTTCCCAGCAGGGGAGGACCCAGCTGAGGGCCACCAGCACTGGTGGCAGCTGGGAACAAGTCTCCTGGGTCCTGGAGGGTTTCCAGGGGTACACAACACAGCGCTCACTACACCTCCTCTCTCTGACCCTCCAATACACAGGTGTCAGGCTGTACAGGGCCCCCATCTCCAAAATCTGTGATTCTGATGTGGTCCCGATGTCTGGGGCCACCTGTCTGTCCCAGGGGAGGTAATGGTGCCAGAGTCGTCTCCAAAGGCAGGGGTTTCTCTGGGCGGGACTTTGAGCCTGACCCTGACCTCCTGGGTAGTGCTGGGTGAGTCCAGGGCCGACGGGGCGTCTGTCTCCCTGGGGATGCCCCGGCCCCCGGCTGAGCCCTGCCCTCCTTCCAGCCGACCTGTTCGACATCCTGCTGCCCATGCTCAACATCTACCAGGAGTTCGTGCGCAACCACCAGTACAGCCTGCAGATCCTGGCCCACTGCAAGCAGAACCGCGACTTCGACAAGCTGCTGAAGCACTATGAGGCCAAGCCCGACTGCGAGGAGAGGACGCTGGAGACCTTCCTCACCTACCCCATGTTCCAGGTGGCGCCCAGCCCCGCCTGCCAGGGCACATGCCCAGGGGTGGGGGGCTGCTGGGGGGCTGGGCAGGGAGGGCCGCGGCTGGCGGGGAGCCAGGCCTGCAGGGATGCCACGGTGACAAAGGCCATGGCCTCTGGGCTGCCTGGAGAATGGGGTTAGGACCAACCCCTGCCCCTGGCTGGTGGAAGGCCAGCTGACATGGGCCGCACGGGAAGGTGAAGGGGCAGCTCCTGGTCCTGAGTCTGCACCCAGGTCCTGCCTCCTGCTGGGGCAGAACCTCAAGCTCTGGACTCTTGTCCCAGACAAGACCCTGGAAGAGCCTGTCTTTCTCTCCCTGTTTCTGTCTATCCCTCTGACCTTCCCTGCCCCTGCCTCTGTCCCTGTCCCCTGCCCCTCCCCAGATCCCCAGGTACATCCTGACACTTCACGAGCTCCTGGCCCACACCCCTCACGAGCACGTGGAGCGCAACAGCCTGGACTACGCCAAGTCCAAACTGGAGGAGCTGTCCAGGTGAGCCCGGCCGCGGGGCACCCCCTCCCATGGGCAGGCGCGGGCTGACGGTGCCCCCGCCCGGAGTCCGCCAGGCCTGCCATGCGTGGGGTCCAGCCCCCAGCCCTGTGCGGGGCCCTGCCAACCAGCCCAGAGCCCTAAACGGCTTCCCAGGTCCAGCGAGGGGCAACGAGTGAGGCCACGGCTCTCAGCTGGGCAGAAAGAGGACCCGGCTGGACCAGATCAGGGCACAGGCCCCGGAGCAGAGGATTAGGGAGAGGATGTAATCGGGGTGTGGCTGCAGGCTAACAAAACCACTATGGGATGGGGACCGCAGTCCTCACGTGCCCCAGGAAGCCAGATCCTACAGTCCTCTCCAAGGAGAAGATTTGGGGCCCCCGTGAGGCAGCGAGCTCCTCATCCCTGCGGGATGCCCTGTACCAGTGCAGGCGGGGGTGCAGGTGGCATATGGTGCCAAGAAATTCGGCCTAAGACCCCAATCCCCTTTCCCCCAGGGTCCTGGGTGTGCCGCCTGCTCTAAGCACCTGCACCTGGCCCGGAACCCAGCCCTAGCAGCACCGAAGAGGGTTTTCCCACCGTGTGACAACAGCCCTTTCTTCCCCCTGGCACCCTCCCTGGGGGCCTGTGGAAAGCTCCAGCCACAGCAGGAAACGTCAGATAACCCACCCCTCCCTGGCTGTGCTCAGAAACACTGCGCCCTCAGGGCTGGCTCTCTCCTGCCTCTGGCCTTGGTCCTGTTTTTCCTCCTGAACTCCTGGGCTCATTGATAACCCAGGTCATCACTTTTGGTTCCCCCAGGAATCTCAGGCCCTAGAAACCCATGCCTTCCCAGAGCCCCCGAGGCCCTTCAGCTGCATGTACAGCATGCCCCCCCCCTAGCCTGGAGCTGCCACTTACCCTGAGCAGCTACAGTTGACACACCTCTAATAGCAAAACTAGTTTTGCCACTTTGGATTCACCCCCTTATTTTTTAGCAAATCCAGACTCTAGCTAAATCCCCACCCTCATCAAGAGAGATGGTTCTGATTGACTTTGGCTAATTCCAAAAGTGGAGTCTCTAGCCACAGCTGCATATACTCCAAAAGGTGCCTCCCTGTCCCATGCTGTTTCTACAAGAAGGCTAAGGCCTGGGCTCCCAAGAAGAGCATTGCTGAAGGGCAGGGAGGAGGGGACCAGGGCCCCTAAGGCAGAAAGACACCATCTCAATGCCCCAGTCTGATAACCAGAAAAAATTAACAAATTTACAGTGTGCCACCTTTTTATAATAACATTTTTGCAGCCATGATAATGGCAACAAAGATCATCACCCTTTATTCAAGCGCCTCTCATGTGCCAGGAAGAGGGTCAGCCCACGAAATACGTTATTTTCCATCCTCATCCCAACAAACTACAGATGCGGAAACTAAGGCTGGGAGGGGCTGAGTAGTTTGCCCCACCTCGTGCTGATTGCACTAATCTCAGCTCCAGCTCCACCAGTGCCATCTCCCATTGTTGTGGGGCTTAAATTGGATAATGTCTATGCGAGAACTCTGTAAGCCGCATACATATTAATCAGCCCTCTTATTGGTCTTAATTATAGAATTTCAGGCATCAGCAAACAAATAGGAGGTTTTGTGCTTTTATTAGAGTAGGTGGGGTACTTTTCTCAGACCCCCTCCAAAAAAAAAAAAAAAAAAACTACTCACTACAGTCCTAAGACTCCACGGCTTTTAGCAAAGTTGGCAGCTCACATCTACCTTTTCCCACCAGGGCAATTGTTTAAAAGCAGTTCAGTACTGCCACCTCCTGGAGAGGAGGGGTGTTGCAGCAGTCAGGAGGCCAGAAAGAAGAGTTGTCTGTGTTCTTAAGGGCGAGCTGTGTGCCAGAGCCGACAGAAGTAAGCCGAAGTCAGTCTTTCGCTGAGCCAGCTGGATTGCCAGGTGCTTCAGAAATAAGCCAGTCCAGAGCCTGACGATTAAGGAAACAACCGTATAAAGAGTGTTCAGGGGGAAGAAACAGCAAGGACAAATCGCCTTGAGGCAGGAATGAACTTGGTTTGTTCTATGGATGGAAATAAGGCTGGCAATGGGATGAGGGGCAGGGTGGGGAACCAAGGATGTCTCCTGTACACCCATCTTCCTCCCAGCTCTGCTGTCTCTGATCCACGAGGTTCAGACTCTAACTCAGACAGACCTGCTTCCTAGCAGTTAACCTCTGTTTCCTCCTTGCGCTGTCAGAGGACAAAATGAGACACCCACCCTCCTCCCCATAACGTGCACACACCCCGCAGGCACTCGGTAGATGCGAGCTGTCTCCCGCTTTACGACAATGGGCTCCACCTGCGAATCCTGGACCCCAGGCTTTCCTCCTAGGTCTGGCCAGAGACCGGCATTCCCTCCTCCCTGGGAGGCGGGAACAGCCAGTCCCTGATGGTCATTGCTTGTCCCCACAGGATAATGCATGATGAGGTAAGCGAGACAGAGAACATCCGAAAGAACCTGGCCATCGAGCGCATGATCATCGAAGGCTGCGAGATCCTCCTGGACACCAGCCAGACCTTTGTGAGGCAAGGTATGGCCTCCGCGCCCTGCCACCCTGCCAGGTGGGCCCAGCAGCAGGAGGCAGGTGGCACTTGGGGACACCACCAGTTGGTTTGGCTGCTGTGTGCCAAAACCTGCCAGCGTGACTGCAGAGTATTCCGGGACTGCCAGGGGAAAGCGACAGCTACAGGGAGATGTCGGTATCTATACATATAGATGCAGATATTATTGGTTTTCACAGTTTCCTTCTCCCCAGATGTAAACATAGTCCTCCCCAGATGGCCTGGGTTTGTCTATTGTATGTCATAGTAAACACTGGCATGTCCTTTTGGAGAAAGAGTAGAGAGGGGAAGATGGGGACAGATTCCGACTGGCCCCGTGAATCACAAGCATTTTCAGCATCCCAGGTGGGCCAGTCCCTCTGTCCTTTGCTCAGCATCCTTTGCCTCTCGGGGGAGGCCGTGATCACAGTGGTTCTCATGGGTAGTTTTTCCTCACCCTTGGGCCTCACTGACCTTGGGGACCTTGAGAGGCACAACCCGGTTGAGAGGGGCCAGAAGAGAGACTCTGCAGCCCCGGGTGTTAGAGCCGTGATGCCTTTAAGGCCACTTGGTTCAGACTCCGTGCCCCCTGGGAAACTTCAGCTTCCGCTCGTGTGCCCCAGAGGTGACTCCACCACAGGATGGACCTGTCGCCTTCCTTCCGTCTAGTCCTAGGATTCTCTGGCCAGATGAAAAGCTTGCCAGCACCTCCCGCTGGCCTGTGCAGCTGCCGCTGGCCCCAGCTGCCCTCACCTTGGAGTTTGTTCTGAGCCCCTATGTGTGGTCCCTGTGTCCTTCCCCCAGGCCCACCCAGGGACCTGCTGAGCCCAGAGCCAACCTAGTCTGTCTCTCAGCTCCCCCTGAGCTGTGCTGGGCCCAAGCTGGAGGTGGCCCCAAGAATGGCCTCCCCTGGGATGGGCAGCGTCCCACAAACCAGGAGTCTGCTCCATCGCCCTGGGCCAAAGAAGTTCCTCCCAACCTGAGGGGCTGGGCTGGACCTGGCAGCCAGCTCCACATGTGTTTAGCCTCCTGCCACGCCCACCTCCAGTCCAGCCCTGCATTCTCACCTAAGGGTTCCTTTGCTTTCCAAGGCCCCGGCCCTGGCTAAGTCAAAGGGTGCTGCGTGGAGTTTTTCCGATCATCCCCCACACGACCCCCGCCATCTGGCCCTGAGGAGGGGCTAGAGGGAGCGTCCATGGTACGTGTTTGCTACCAAGAACTCGGGTAGCCTTGTCCCACTGCCACAGCCACTGGCATCGTGACCCCACATGCATCCTCAAGGCTGGGTCAGAGGCGAAGGGTCATGCTGGAATATGGGCTCAGGGTCTCTCTCCTCCATCCGCAGGATCCCTCATCCAGGTGCCCATGTCCGAAAAGGGCAAAATCACCAGGGGACGCCTGGGGTCTCTGTCCCTAAAGAAAGAGGGCGAGCGACAGTGCTTCCTGTTTTCTAAGCATCTGATCATCTGCACCAGAGGCTCCGGCGGGAAGCTCCACCTGACCAAGGTAAGGGCGGCGGGAGCTGCGGGGCTGGCAGTCCAGGGGCTCCCAGCAGGCTCTGCCCTGATCTCGGGGTCTTGACTGCCCCGACCGTGGGCCCAGAGGGTGGGCAAGCGTGTCAGAGACTTGAGAGTGGTGGCTTGGAATGAGAAGGCCAGTGACTGGTTTTCTACTGGAGAAATTACAGGAAGTGGGAAAGTGAGTTTGAAGACCCCCGAAGGCACCCCCACAGCTGGGTGCTGGGCCGGAGGAGCCGAGGGGGCCAGAGGAGCCCTTAAAAGGCCCGTGTGCAGGTGTATGAGGGGCAGCTGGGGGATGGTGGCACCTGGCAGAGGACAGGGCAGCAGCCTGAGCCTCTCTTTTCCAGTCAAAAGGAGCTCAGACCGAGCCCCTCCTGACACCCCCTCAGGCACTCACTCGGCCAGCACAAGAGCCCACACCCCGCGCAGAATCTGCTGCCCCCCAGCACGGCACATGGCCTGTCTCGCTGCTGTCAGCTCAGGACCCCTCCCACCTCTGTCTCTTACACGTGTGTGACCCTGGAATCTTCCCCGCCCCTGTCTACACCTCACTTCCTCATCTGCAAAACAGGGACGAGGGGCCTCACCCAAGGCGTGCACGGAGACAGGCAGGTGGCCGTACACCTGCTCCGGGGAGGAGGCCCCCCCGGCCTCGATCGGCTCTAGTCTCCCCAGCCCTGTGTCCATCCCCGCGGAAGCTCGCTTTGGCAGATTTCAAATCTGAACACTCTGGAGCCTGGAAAGGGCCAGAAGGTGCCCTTAACGAAGCCAGGGCATCAGGGGAATCATCCTTCCAGACCCTGGATGCCTGGCCCTAAACTGCAGAGCTCACAGATCAAGCCCTGGCTCCCAGAATGTACTGCTGATGTTAACGTGTCGGCAGATTAGTCGATTGGCTGCACAAGGGGGAATTAATTTACAAACACTGATACTCCAGTTTCCACCAAATCATGTATCAAGGAAAGCCGTCATTATTTATTAGCTCTGGAGGTTCTGCTGGGAGATCTCTGTCCAGGCTGGGGGGACAGTTCCCCCCAGCAGGTGGGGGGTCAGTAGGGGCAGGTTGAACTGGAGACTTTAAGGTCGCTTCCTAGTCTGAAAGCATGTGTTTTTATGTTTGTTAGTTTTACGTTATTTTGGTTTGGGGAGTTGTTCATTTGTTTGAGTTTTTAAAGTCTCTTTGCACACTGATAAAGAACACGGAACCCGAGTGCTGCTCAACTTCTAGCACTGAGACTTACCAGTGGGTGACTTCATGAGCCTCAGTTTACTTTATCTGCAAAATGGGAGAGAAAAGTACCTACTCCTCAGGAGTACTGTGAGGATTAAGCGAGGGAGTGGGTGCAAAGCCCATGGCTCCGGGCTTGGCACCTGGTAAGTGCTCAATAGATAACAGTCATTGTCACTCTTAGTTGTAGAGTGTGAACTTGTAATAGTAACAATAGCAAGCTTTGCAGAGTGATACTGGGCGCCAGGCAGTAGGCCAAATGCTTCATGTATATTTAACTCCTAGAACAGCCCACCGAGGCAGGCACTATTCCTTTCCCCTTTGTATAGATGAGGGGACAGAGACTTCTGGGAGGAGCTAGCAGGGGCAGAGTGGGGATTTGAACCCAGGGAGTCTGGCTCCAGCGTCTGTTCTTAAACCATAAGCTAAAATTCGAACCACTTCTCATTAAATACTACAGTTGGAAACAGAATGAATGCCTCAAGTCCTCCTGAAAGGGGCATGCTACCACTCCGTCAGATCTAAAACTACCGTAAGAGTTTTTTGAACTTCCAGCAGCAGACGGTTAGAGCTGGACGGGGCTTTCGAGATTATCAAGCCCAGTAACGTCACGGCGCAAATTAAGGCCCACCAAGACCTGGGGCGCTCCCCCGCGGCCACCAAGGAGCCAGGCAAGAAGCAGAACCCAAGACTGGGGCCGCTCTGATGCCTCTCCCGTCCCCCTCTGCCTCCCAGGTGGCTGCCTGCCCTGCAGACGTTTTCATCTATAGATTAGCTGCATGGCCAGGTCTTTGTTACCATCAGTTATTCTATTATTTATCTGTTGCTGTGTAACAAATTATCCCCAAATAGAGTGGCTTAAAACAAACATTTGTTGTCTCATGGTTTCTGTGAGTCAGGAGATCAGGATGTGGGTAGCTCGGGGTCTCCTATGAGGCTGCAGTCAAGGCGGCAGCAGGGGCTGCAATCATCCGCAGGCTCGACTGGGGTCGGGGATCCTTTTCCAGCATGGTCCCCTCACATGGCTGTTGGCTGGGGGCCTCAGTCCCTCATCCGTAGCCCTCTCCTCATGACACAGCAGTCGGCTTCCCCTAAAACAAGTGGTCCAAGAGACAACAAGAAAGCAAGTAGGAGGCTGCAGATCCCAAAGCCACACCCCATCACTTCTGCTTTATTCTCTAAATAAGAAGCAAGTCACTGAGTCCAGCACACACTCAAGAGGACAGGAAGTAGCCTTCATTTTCTGATGGAAAGGGTGTCAAGGAATTTGTGGATGTGCTTTATAGCCAGCACAGTACGGCTGCTCTGATTTCTCACTACAACATCAAGGGATCCCACACCCAAGAGATGCCCACACACCCAAGGAAAGGAGGCAGATTTCCATATTCTTAGTAATTGAAACCCAGCCGCTGACCTTCAGCTGGGATCAGGCTGGTGAGGCTCTCTCCAGACTCTACCACTAACTAGCCAGATGGCCGTGGACGAGACATTTAACTCTGTGATTTCATTTCTTCACCTATAAAATCAGAATAACCATACCTGAGACAGGTCCGTTTCCCTAGTGATATATATGAGGGCTTTCCAACTTCTGCAGATTTAGGGCTACGAGGTGCTGTCTCGGAGCTGTGGTAGGTCAAGAAGAGGCCACGCGAGCCAGGTTCTGGCCCCTCCGCCCCCAGCCCAACCTTGACCTGCATTTGGGGAAGGTGTCTCTGAGCCAATCCTACTGGAGCCGCTTCATTGGGCTCCTTATATGAAAATAAAGTTCTTCAATTTAAAAACCAAAATGGCTCAGCATGTAATGCACACATACGTGCTCACTTTTAAAGTCCCTTCCCATCCTGATATCCAGGACGCCAAAACTAGCACATCTCCCACTTTGATTCAAGGCGGCCCCTGCTCTTTTTCAGAATGGAGTCATATCCCTCATTGACTGCACCTTATTGGAGGACCCAGAAAGCACGGAGGAGGAAGGTGAGTGTGACGGTCACATGCAAGCCTGTGTGCTACACACACACTAACCCCAGAGGGTTGGGCCCAGGCATTGTTTTTTCTTGGGAGGAAGGGAGGCTGCTGAAGAGTGGTCCTGAACCCAGAGGGGCCAGGTCCTTAGAGAAGGAGCTCCCTGGCCCAGTAGGTGATAGCCTCCCCCACCCCTCCTGGTTCCTTCAAAGCTTCTTGGGTCCCTGGACTTGTTGGTGCCATTCGGTTTGGGGGCCTCAAGGAAGAGACCAGGGGGCACCAGCCCATCTCTGTCCTCCAGTGGAAAAGGGTGGAGTGTGCAGGGACACACGTGCCCCTGCCAGGGGGAGTGCAGGGGAACCGTCCCCCACAGTGGGACTGGAGTGGCCAGGATGGGAGGCAAGGTTTCAGGGAGAAGGGAGCATGTGAGTGGGGCCTCAACACAGCAGACGGGTCAGACAGGGAAATGCGGGGAGGGCAGTGCCCAGGCATTTGGAAAGCCTCGGGGTGGGGGCGTTCCATGGGATTTCTCAGAATCAGAATTGGGGAACGAGGTCATTATTTTGGGCTAAGGGGTGGGGTCACTGCTGTCGCTTGACTGGACCAAAGTTGGTCCATGTCTCCCTCATTCACTGGCCCCCAGCCATGGCTCTGGATGCTGCCCGCGGGGATACACCAGCTGGACCCTCCATCTTTGCCCTTCCCCGGACTGGGGCTCCTCAGGGCAGGGCTGTGTCTGAAGGACCTCAGATCCCAGTCCCAGCATGCCTTGGTGTCAGGCTTGCGGTTTGCTAGGGGCCAAGAGCCTAGTCCATACACACACTTGATGGACACACACACACACACACACATACACACACACATACATGCACTTGTACGCATGCACCCTGGTCAGCCCCAGCACCAGCTGAGCTCTGCACCCTTCACACCTCCAGGTGGCCCCTCAAGGCTAGAATAAATGTGCAACAGTTTACCTGGGGCTCTTACCAGCGCAACCTCCTTCCATCTTGGCCACAGCTGGTCCAGACTCAAGTGGAGTCGTCAGGCCCCAAAGTTCTTTTCCCTGCAGGGCCAAGGGGAGTGGAGGCAGGACCCTACACGTCCCCCACTCAACACCTAGACACCCCACTTCTCAGAAGGGCCAGCACCGTCCCATCCCCGAGTCACCACGTGGAGCAGGCTCTCCTGTGCCCAGCAAGGAATCCTACAATTCTCGAGTGTCAACACCAGAAGGGGTGGGGACCTCAGAGCCATTACATCCCACTCTGCTTGCACAGGAGGACGTCTGGGGCCCAGAGCAGGAAGGGCACCACCCCATGGTCACGTTGCCAGCAAGCAGAGTCCAGGGCTGTGGCAGACCTTCCACAACATTCCATCCCATTCAGTGCACTCCCAGTTAACGCGGCTGCATCGAAAGGAATCCCTGAGCTGTGACCTCAATCTTTCCAAACAAACAGCTTCCAAGAGTTCAAGGAACAGTTCAGATTAAGAGCAGTAACAAAAATACTTAGAATTTACTTTGGCTTGGGGGAGCCCTCAACTGAGCTAAATGTCCAGCCCTGTCCATAAAACTCAAGATCTGAAGTTCTTTTGGCCCCAGGATCTCTTTGTGGGGGCAGGAGGTCCCTGCTGCAAGGCTTGGCTGAGCAGCTGCTCCGCTGGGCGTCTTACAAAAGTCCTCCCTGGGGACCTCAGCTCCCCATTGGCGTGATGAGGGCAGAGGGTCGACCCATGATTCCCAAAGGCTCTTCCGGCTCCGATTCAGAGCTGCCCCTGTGTGGCTGGAAGCTGCTCTGCACTCCAGGGCTTAGTCTTTCCATCTGTGAAGTGGGGATTCCTCACCTTAAAAAAAAGTTCTGAAACCAGCAAGTGCCCTGGTGCCTTACCGATGCAGTGCCTTCACCGATGGGTAAGGCAGAGCACCGTTCAAATGTTTTCCGACTCGAAAAAGGCCCACACTCATTCTGCCAACTCCGTGTTTTGCAACTGGAAGCCAAAGGATCCGGCCAAGACATAGATCACTTGGATTTTAAGATCGGGGTGGAGCCAAAGGATTCCCCACCCTTCACGGTCATCCTCGTGGCCTCATCCAGACAGGAGAAGGCGGCGTGGACCAGTGACATCAGCCAGGTGAGCAGCATCACCTGTTCCTGAAAGCAAGTGGTTCCTTCACACCTAAGCTGGCTGGGGGTTCGGGGTCAGCTGTAGGGCTCTGATGGGAAGACGCGGTGTCTCCAGGGGCAGCCCCAGCCAAGGCTGAGCCCCGCTACTTGCCCAGTTCTCAGAGGCCTCTGGGCCACCTGCAGAGTGTGGTCTGGGAAGCCCATGCATCTGGATCATCTCGAGGGTGATTTTTTTAAACTCCACATTCCAGGGCTCTCCCCTCCAGCCCTGCAGACACACTAGGTCCAAGTCTCTGGGGTGGTGCCTGGGAACCTGCATTTTAGCACTCACCCCAGGTCACTGGTACCAAGGGAAAGTCTGAGCACCATGACCCAAGGATGTTGGATGTAGCAGAGCCAGGAGAGAGAGCCAAGGCCTCGCAAAGCCCAGGTTTCACCCTCCCTCTTTGCCTGCACAGGAAGCACAGACTCCCCGGGGACCAGAGAACAGACCCAGGGGGCTGTGGGCCCCTCCCTGCAGGACCAGGCAGAGATCTGAGTCTGGAAAGAGGCTGTCGGCAGCGCCAGGCTTCCGGCCCGAGGACAGGCCTCTCCCTGGGCCCTGCAAGGGCCTTCGATGAATCCGCGCAGCCTTGTCCCAACAGCAGATAAACTCCTCCAGGGCCGCCGGCCTGCGGTCTGCGCTCTGCAGAGCAGATGGCTGTATTAGGGTAGCAGCTGACGGAGGAAGGGGGCAGCAAGGCAGGAGATGGCCCCCTTTCCGGGCAGGGGGCCTGGGAGTTGTATTTATGGCGAACTGGGGGCAGAGTCTCCTCTGCATTTAAGGGGGACTCCCCTCACTCACTCCCTGCCCCTCGTTTTTATGCCTCACGTCTGCGCTGCCCTGACTGCCCACACACCACTGCCTCTGCCTGCCTGCCTCCCTCACAGCCCCAGCAGAGGATGGCGGGACGGGGCGGGCGTGTAGCGGGTGTCTGTCTGCTCCTGCTGAGTCTTCCCACGCCTTCACACAACTAGCGTGCCCCGGGGAAGTCGGAAAACTGGAAACACCGAGCGTGGCCCTTTCCTGTCCTCAGCAAGCCATCAAAGGCTCAGGGCCACTGGCCTGGAGAGTGTTTCTGGGGCCTCTGCCCCCTTGAGGGCTGCATGGCTGATGCCAATGGGTGTCAGGGCCCCCAGGCCCTCTGATGCCCCCAGGAAGCTCTGATCCGGGGCCAGGTGCCCTACGTTTCAGGGTTGCTGGCAGAACCAGAGCTAAAGAAAGTCTCAGAGTGTGGGGCTAGAGAGGAGGAGCTGGGAAGGGCAACTGAGGAAAGCTTCCTCTGGAGGCCCCCAAAGAGCAGGGGGCCTGGCTGGGACCAGGACTGGGCCTGGGAGCACCCACTGCACCAGCCTCTTTGCTCTCACCTTCTAGGGACTTGGACCCCTCCCCCAACACATACATCCTCAAAACCAGAAGATCCTGGGATGCGCCCCCACCCCCAGGCCTAGGATAAACCCTCTCATGGTGCAATGTGGCGGCTTGGGGCGGCGGGCAATGAAGAGGAAGAAGTGTGACTTTGTATCTTTTTTTATTGGAGGAGGTGTACTTTTTATTCAAAGAAAAATTTGGATTTTGAGGTTTTTCAGAGGCTGAATATATCATACAGTTGTCTGTGTCCCCCAGTGCCGGCAGCCTTGCCTCCCCCGGGGGCGGGAGTTTTATATGGAAAACCAGCTGCAGCTTCAGAGTGTTGGCCCTGTGGTGGGCAGAGGACAGGGTGCAGGACAGCACCCGTGCGCAGGGGGCACGGAGGCCCTGCTGAGCCGGCCTCCCCGGGGAGACATCCCAGAGCACGGTGGGTCTGGTCTTGACCTTGGCACTGGATCTCAGAGGTCAGCCACAGGGTGGCCAGGGTCAGACGCTTCCATTTTGCAAACAACCCAAGGAGGTAGGAACCATTATCCCCCATTTTGCAGGTAGGAAAGCTAAGGCCCAGCGAGATCAAGTTAATACTCAGAAGGTCACTGAGCTGGGGACTTCAGACTGAAGTCCAAGGGATGCTCCGCGTTGACCTTGCCTTTGCCTCTGCGATGCCCTGGAGGTTGAGGACCCTGTGTCGCACCAGGGCACGTGAACCCTGCACTCAGGTCTCAGAGTGGAGGCTGAGGCTCTGACCCTGGGGTCCTCTCTGATTCCAGTGTGTGGATAACATCCGGTGCAATGGGCTCATGATGAACGCGTTCGAGGAGAACTCCAAGGTCACGGTGCCGCAGATGATCAAGTAAGTGCCCTGAGCAGCCCTGCCCAGGCCGAGCTCCAGAGACCGCGGGCCACCTGGAGCCGGCAAGGGGCTTCGAAGACGCTGGGTTTCGTCTTTCCGGGTGTTTTAGGTGTTTGTTTGCTTGTTTATTTTGAGTTAATGTCTATTTGGATGATGGCTTTGGCTTAGTTTTTCTTGTTTGTCTTGAAAATGTGGATTTTTGTATTAGGCTGATTAAAATACAACATCAGGTAAGACGATTTATACACTCTTTTTTGTTTAATAGCTATATTTCTTTTCCTAATTACAAAATGAGAACACTTCCAAAACGCAGGCCCCAGGGCCACTGTGTTCATTTGAGCAACCCCAGGGACGAGGGATTTGTGGGGGGACAGTGGCATCCTACTGAACACAGCTCTCTGACCGTCCAGGCAGGGCAGCCTGCTGGCCTGCACCAGCATGCGTCTTCTCCGGTGTCTGCTCGCCTGACCCCCTCAGGGGCCCACCGGGTGGCCTGCTGGCTCTCTGGCCTCCATCCAGACCTCTGAATTCCCAGCCTGCTCTGTCCGCCTGGCTCAGGCCAGGACCCAGCTCCCCGACCCCCAGCACGTTGTGCTGCCCAGAGCACAGGAAATCTTTCTGCTCTCAGATTATTCCCTCTTCTTGGTGGCTTCCTGCGGTTCTGTAGGTGCAACATGTATCTCCCTGAATCTTGGTAAAAACACAAACCAGATGTTTTCTGAAATGCTCTGTGTCTTGCAGCATAGCCGCCTTGGAAGGAATCATTTCCTGTTTCTTCGGGATGGACATTTGTCAAACTGCACTGTCCTTGTAGGCCCTGTGCTTTTTCTCTATTTTTCTCATCCTGAAAAGAAATCCCCACTGCCCTGCTCATTGGAGGTGGTCGATAAGGGTTACTTATCCATTAATATTTCAAAGCCTAGGGATTTTTCCAAAGAAAAACCTTTAAGGACAGTGTGAAAGGCTATATCCAGTCTGCTCACCTCTTCTGAGCACTTCCTGCACTCCTAGGTGGTAGGCACCCTCTAAAGAGCCAGTGACTGCAGAGTCCACATTTATTTACTGTCTACTGAATGCCAGACAATATTACAGGTCCCTTAGGTCATTTAGTCTATTAAGTTCTTAAAAAATCTTTTGAGGTAGGTCTTGTTATTTCCATTTTACAGATGAGGAAACTGAGTCCAGGAGAATAAGTACCTTGTGTAAGGGCACACAAGAAACAAGTATTACAGGTATCATCTGAACCTATGTATTCTGATTCCAAGCCTTGTGTTCTTCCCACATCACCAGAGATACTAAACCTATTCCTGCCATGACAAGCATTATGGGCTGAATTGATACTGAATTAGATTTTTTTTCCCTGTGAGCTCATGATGGTAAGATTCCCAAGCTTATCCTTTCAGTAATGTCATGTATTTATTCATTTATATCATCTTCTAATCATATCCCACCAGAAGACAAAAAAGATTGAAGGCTGCCTACTAAATACATATAAAAACAACTAGATAAAGTACAGTCATCCGTGTGTGAGGAATACGGACAAACAAAAAATAAGGAAGGAAAAATAAAATGAAGCCCGAATGAGGTTAACTGCACTTGCTGTGCACCTGCTGGAAGTCAGCACTAGACTTGATTCCAAGCCTCTCAGCAGTCAAAACAAAAAGGGAAACATGATTACAAAGATTCACAGGGCTCAGAAAGTGAAAAACCACAGCTGCTTATGGAGGCGTGATAGAATCCCCCGAGACAATGAAACGTGTCCCGTGGTTTAACCACCAGAGGGCGCTGTGTTGTTGCAACTGGTTCCCATCACACCCAGCAGAGGCTGTGGGTGTCAGGCTCACAGACAGCTGAAGGAAAACAGACCTGTGGGTGTCTAGACCCAGCTCAGTCCTCAGGTCCTCAGCCCACTACAGTCTGGCTGACTGCACCAAACACCTGTCCTCATCTGTTGGCAGCCTGAGAGGAGTGGGACTTGCTGCTCCCAGATCCTATTTGGAAGGTCTCAGGGAAAGATTCAGATTGCTCCAGCTTGGATCAGACTCCTACCCCATGCGGAAATCACTCTGGCTAGAGGTGAAGGACTTTGAGAGATCCAATCCAGGACACCTGCCCAACAGTGTCACTTTTAGTCCAGCTGATGTACTACAGGCTGAAGATGGACCCCAGTGCTTTTTTTTTAATTTTTAAAGCTTTTTTTGGGGGGTAATGGGGGATACGATGCAATTAATTTTTTTTTTAATGGAGACACTGGGGATTGAACCCAGGACCTTGTGCATGCTAAGCACACACACTACCACTGAGCTATACCGTCCTCGCTCCTCAATGCTTTAATAGGAAGCCAAGGTGAGGTCAAAGAGAGGATGACCTCTCCCTACAAAGGCTAAGAAGGTTGAATAGACTGCTAAGAAATCCACCCCACCTTGGCACAGGGGCCGGAGGGTCATAATGAGTGACCATTGCAAAGCCAGCTTCATTCTTTATAGCTCTTCATAGCTAAGGGAAGGGAGCTGTCAGCAGATTGCTGGCAGGCAAGGCAGCTAGTAACAAAAATTTGTGGGATTTTTAGACTTAGAAAAGAAATTAGACCCTTGGAAATTTATTGTATCTGCTGACACTTGCTTATGTGGTTTTTAGTTTTGGATTGCAAGCTCATTTTCAGCAGGGGTCTGTCTGTGAATGTCTTGTAGAGCCTGGTTGACAGATGCCCTTCCAGAAAGGTTCTGCATTTGTTTCCACCAGTTGCCTCAGGAGCATTACATTCTGTGACCACACTTTTATATGCTCTGTTTGGGCTTCCCAGACCACAAAGGTAGTATGAATTTGTATTCCAGAACCACCGGGAGGGCAAGTAAGACATTCTCAAGGGAGCTTTCTACCTCCGCCCAACCCTCCCCCCAGAGGCTGGGCTAATACAGAAAACATGCAAACTAGATTTTCCTGGGCCATCTTTCACCGAGCCTGTAGCCCTTCAAGGCTCCCAGCTTTACATGCGGGTCTCACTCCAAACCCCTCCACCCGCAGGCCCAGGCCTCATCTCCTTCTCTATTGAAACCCGAGGCACTTGGTTTTCAAGGGCAGCAGATGCCCTAAAGGCAGCTACAGCATCAGCTTGTTTCCAAATTTCTCTTCATTTTTGGCCCCTGGGAATTTCCTTTGCATCTTTTTGTCTCTACTTATTTTTTTATTGAGATATAATTCATAAAACTCACCATTTTAAAGTGTACCAGTCACTGGATTTTAATGTATTCACTATATTGTACAACCATCACCACTGTCCAATTCCAGAATAATTCCATCACCCCAAAAAGAAACCCCATACATATTAGCAGGCAGTTCCAGTTCCCGCTCCCCCATCTCCTAGCAACCACCAATCAACTTTCTGTGTCTACAGATTTGGCTATTCTGGACATTTCATATAAATGAGATCATATGATATATGGATTTTTGTGACTGGCTTTTCTCACTTTGCATGTTTTCAAGATTCCCCCGTGTTGTAGCAAGTGTTAGTGCTTCATTCCTTTTTGTGGCTGAATAATATTCCATCATGTGGCTAGGCCACATTTGGTTTATCCTTTCATTGGTTGATGGAAATTTGGGTTGTTTCCACTTTTTGGCAATTATGAACATTGCCCTCGTGAACATTTGTGCCCATGTTTTTGTGTGAACAAATTTCCTTTATGTCTTGTGAACTCAGTAACACATAATTTTTTAGTTTGTTATGTTTCATCCAGTATTTGTAGTTTTATATTGTCAGGTTTTTAGGATATTGTTGAGAAAAAGAAGTCGCAGGCCATTCTTCCTCAGTGTCAGTCTCCCAGAGCTTTCCTTGTTCCCATCCTAAGCCACCTGGTCCTTCAGCAGTCCCTCTGTCTTTGGCTGTTGGCACGGTGAGGAGACCGTGCTGCTTGGGCCATGGTCTAGCCTTCAGGGAACTCACAGCCTGGTTGGGGAGATGGCCGTGGACTTGGAAACTTCAGACCCAAGTCTCCTCTTGGTCCTTCCTCCTTCCCCAGGTCCGACGCCTCCTTATATTGTGATGACGTAGACATTCGCTTCAGCAAAACCATGAACTCCTGCAAAGTGCTGCAGATCCGGTACGCCAGCGTGGAGCGGCTACTGGAGAGGCTGACGGACCTGCGATTCCTGAGCATCGACTTCCTCAACACCTTCCTGCACTCCTACCGCGTCTTCACCACCGCCATCGTGGTCCTGGACAAGCTCATCACCATCTACAGGAAGCCCATCAGCGCCATCCCCGCCAGGTGGGCTGGCCTCCCCCTCCTGGGCGGGCCCACAGACCTTCCAGGCCTGGGAGGGAAACTGACCTCGGCATTGGGAGTGGCTGGGGAGAGGCTGTGCCCTGCACTGGGTGGTGGGATGTGGGGCACCCTACCAAGGAACCAAGCCCACCTCCTGCAAAGAGGTGGGGAGACCTGACCTGCCTGATCTGATGCCCCTGCTCAGTCCCAGCCTTGTCCACCTCCCCCGGACTCCTGGGGTGGTGTAGAGTTGGGGGTAGGGGTCATTATATTGCTCTGTCCTCCCTGTTCTCACTTATTAGTCCCCTCCTGGAAGCCTCCCACCCCTCCCCACCTTCCCCATTTAAGAAAGAACGAGAAAGAAAGGGAGGAATAAAGGGAGGGAGGGTGGGAGGAGAGAGAGAGAATCCTGTCCCTTCTCTGTTTAGACCACATCCTTCTGACACACTTCGGGTGGTTCAGCACACGGAGGGCAGGCCACCTTAGCCTTGGCATCAAAGCCATCTTTTCCATCTATATCACTGCAGCTCAGCCCTGTGATGGGCCAGCTGGGACCCAGAAAGGTCAAGAGACTTGCTCCCAGGCCCCTGGCAGTGAGGACTTGAACCCAGGGCCCTGGGCTCATGGCGACCACTGGCGGCCACCCCTGCTGCGTCTGGGTGACACGGGCCCATGGGGGGTTCAGAGAGGCGTTTCTCAGAAGCCTGCAGGTCAGGAGGACCCACGGCGTCTCAGATCAGCGGCTGCTTCGGACCAGAGGGAAGCAGAGGAGGAAGCATCGGGCAGACGCGCCGTGCCGCCAAAGCCCGTGCCCTCCTCCCAAAGCAGGACATTCCTGTCTGTGGACTCCTGGCCTCGGGCCATTTGACCACCTGGTCCTTTTGGCCTGGTCGCCTCTCAACCCACCCACCAGAGACGGGGCTGCCCCAGGCCTGGGCGGGCAGTCGGCCTACACTGACCATTCGTTTTCGTCCCCTGTCCTCCCTAAAGGTCACTGGAGCTCTTGTTCGCCAGTGGCCAGAACAACAAGCTCCTGTACGGCGACCCCCCCAAGTCCCCCCGCGCCACCCGCAAGTTCTCCTCACCTCCTCCCCTGTCCATCACCAAGACGTCGTCGCCCAGTCGCAGGCGGAAGCTCTCCCTGAACATCCCCATCATCACAGGCGGCAAGGCCCTGGACCTGGCAGCCCTCAGCTGCAACTCCAACGGCTACACCAGCATGTACTCGGCCATGTCGCCCTTCAGCAAGGCCACACTGGACACCAGCAAGCTCTATGTGTCCAGCAGCTTTGCCAGCAAGATTCCAGATGAGGCCGATACAGCCCCTGAGAAGCCCGAAGAGCCCTCAGCTCTCAGCAAGCAGAGTGAGTGGATCTGAGGGCCCAGCCGCACCCCACTCACCGGCCCACTGAGGCCGGCCCAGCCCCGTCAGGCTCCCACGGGGCAGGAGGGGAGGCTGGGGGTCCCGGCCGGATGTGCAGAGCCTGGGCAGGGGGCCAAGCAGCCGTACGTGGGAGCCCAGCTGCAGAGGGGCCAACAGATCCCTGGGAAGGATGAGTGTCACTCCCGTCACCAGGCTTCCCGCTGGCCTGACGACAGCTTCCTGCTGCAGCCATGTATTTGTCCATCTGTGTAGTGACATGTCCTGGGCCAGGCCCCAGTCAGGGCCCAGGAAAGAAGAGGTCATTAGACCTAAGTCCTGCCCCCAGAATTCACAGGGTGGCTGAGGAGCAGGACCAGACACGGAAACATGGGCACCTGATATGTGTGTTCAGGGGTGCTCCAGGGGCACCAAGGATGCTGTGGGGAAGCCGTCAGGAGAGTCAGAAGACTTCCTGGAGGACCCATTAGATCTAGATTCTCACCAGAAGGAAAAGAGAACCTCCTAGACAAAGGGAAAGGAGTGGGCAAGACTGAGGAGCAAGGAAAAGCGTTGCGTGTTCAGGGAACAGCATGGAGCTCAGCATCCCTGGAGCCCTAGGCGTGGGTTGGCAGCTGGAGATGATGCTCTCAGAGCCCTGACCATTCTGGAGTGACGTTTATTTGGAGGATTGTCTGACTCTGTCTTACATTAGGTCAGCCTACATCCTGGGTACCACCAGTGTTGTCTTGGTTAGCACCCATGTTCATGTGTGCGCACGCACACACACACAAACACATGCACAGCCCTGGGCTGGTCGGAAGCCCTGGGCTTTGAGGAGGAGGCAGCCTTTGTAAAAACATTGAAGATAGTCGGGCTTTCTCTCCTCTGAGTTGGGAAGAGGGAAGACAGAGGGACCCCCCCAGCAGAGGGCACAGCCGAGGAGGGGTAAATACCGAGTGACACTGACTGTGGCACATACAGTAAGCAGGTCACGTGCACAGCTCCAGGTCAGGAACCAAGGTAACAGCCTACCAGAGAGCCCCACATGCCATCCCACAGCAGCACAGACTCCCTGGCAGGGCAGCAGACAAGGGCACAGAATTCCATCTGACATGAAGCTGCAGTGAATCCAGGCCTGTCATGTCCTGACACGTAGTGCAAGACGGTCCTGAAAAGTCATCTCATACTGGGCTTCTCGACCTGCGGTCCAGCAGGCCCTGAGCCTGCCCGACTGTGCACCGCATTGTGCTTGTGTGTGTGCATGCGGACATTCGCTTCTAAACAGAAGACCTGTAGCTTTCTTTGGGTTCTCAAAGAGGTCAAGTGTCACTCCACTTATTTTCTAATTGGGGAAATTGTGGACCAGAGAGGTGAAGAGTTTTTGACCAAGATCTCACCACGCCAGAGCTGGACTTTTAATATAATTCATCAGCTTTCCCCTAAGTGTGTAAACCATGAGTCTCCCAAGATTAGGGGGACTGCCCAAACCAGGATGCCTTTGATAGTGACCAGGCGCAGGGACAACAGGGATAAAGCAGGACTTCCCTGGGCAGACCAGGGTAGATGGTCACCCTAAGATGTTTCACACACACACCAAGAAAGCAGGGAGTCAGGTGGTACCCTGCTACTCAAAGTGTGGTCCATGGACCAGCCACGTGGACATCACCTGGAAGCTTGTTAGAAAAGGAGGCTCCAGACTGTTGAATCAGAATCTACATCCTAACAAGATCCCCCGCTGTGCCCATGAAGTCTGAGGAGCCCTGGGAGAGCAAAAGGCCCCCTGGAGGTGCATGAGGCCCGTTAGCACTTGGAAGGTCTGATGCGGCCCATGGCAAATACAGCTGTTAAACTTTCTTCAGCCGACATTTCCCAAACTTACTCTGTTTGGCTTCGTTAAATTATAGGCCTGAATTTAAAAATCAATGACTGTTTGAGACATGCAAAATTATTTCCTCTTTTTCTCCCAGGCTCAGAAGTCTCCATGAGGGAAGAGTCGGATAATGACCAAAACCAGAGTGACGAGGGCGATGCCGAGACATCCCCCACCAAGTCTCCGACGACACCAAAATCTGTCAAAAGCAAAAATTCCTCAGGTACAATTCGCCAGTCCGAAACTACAGATAGATTCCAGAGGATGTGTGAGATCCAGGCGGGGAGAGGGCAGCGGGTAAGCCCGAGGAAGGTCTAGTGGGTGTCAGCCCTTCTGTGTTACGAGTGACTCCTTCCTACGTGCGGGAACTTAACTGCCCTTCGTAGCCCTGGGGGTGAGTCTGGGGCTGCTACCCTGGCTGGTCCTGCTCTTCAGCTCAGCAGAGTCACTTCCCCACCCTACCCCACCCCGCCCCCACCCCCGACTTCAGGCAAGACTGCACAGCCCACCCTATACAGGCAGGAGGGCCCAGCATGTGGGCTCATTCATGAAGATCTGATTCAGAAGGTGTTTCCTGAGCCGCTGCTGCATGTCAAGCTCTGTGCCCCGCCCTTGAGCCATCTGATGCCGCACAGAGGGGCCAGGTCATTCCTGGTTTTCATACAAGGGAGAAGTCTCCCCGAGAGGTTGTAGCGATGCCCACCCTAGTCTCAGACTCATGATTCCGGAAGGCCCTCAAGGAGCCATCTGGGTCCCTGGTTCCCACAAAGCACCTCCCCACGCACCGCGGGGCTCTGAGATACCAGGGGTGAGGCGCGAGCTCACGGGAGCCCCTCCCGCCCCTGCTCCCACATACGAGGTGCAGCCTGAACCCCGAGCTCCCTGACTACCCAGGCCCTCCCAGGAGACCCGGTAAGTCACAGGGGCACCCACCTGCAGAGGGAAACTGCCCGGACACCGCAGGCCTGCCACAGCTTCTCAGACACCCTAAAGTAGATTCACGGAGAGAGAGCCAAATTCCAGAAATAAGCTTTTGAGTTTCTAAAATAAATCGTTTGCTCCTCACAGCAAAAGCACTGTTATTTTGTCCTGAGTGTGGCTTGCTCTCCAGAGACTTACAAGATGAAGCTAAAGGTTTTTGGAACCAGATTCTACTACCATGACTGCTGAAAAATAATCATTATTATTGTTAATAGCATCAATATTCCATTGTATATGTATAGCTTTTCACGCGCTACTACTACTTCCATCCATGTTACCTCTTTTAATCTTTATGTTCACCTTTTGAAGTAGGTGTTAATATCCCTATTATCCAGAGATGACTCAGGCTCAGAGAGGTTAAGTAATTCACCCAAGTCCACGCAGCTAGTAAGGGGTGAGGACTTGGAGTGCAGGGCTCTCTCCACCCCGCCGTGCCAGGGAGCCCGTCCGTATGAGTCATCGATGTCACACATTATGCAGGTCATGTGTTCATTTCCAAACAGACTGAAAGGGTAAGAAAACTCACGACACTGTCCTCAAGCAGGCCTGTGCCAAGCTGGGCTGAAGAGGTGAAGGATTTGGAACTAGAGAGAGAGGGAAGGGGTGGTTCTCCAAAAGCAGAGGGTGGCGGGACCTTCTCATCTCGTGGGAGAAGCAGGGGGAGGCAGGGGTTTTCCCTACCCCGAGACACCCCCAGTCGGTGGGGTTGGGTGGCATGGGCCTGCCCCTTCCCGGGGACGTCAGCAGGGGAACAGACCCCACCACCGCCACCTGACAAGCCCTGAGTGCAGTGAGTACAGCCTGTCAGGACCCCGGGGTTCCTGACAGCCGAGGGCTGGACCAGGAAAGGCTGAGGGGTGGTCCGTGCTCCCCCCAGAGTTCCCGCTCTTTTCCTACAATAATGGAGTCGTCATGACCTCCTGCCGTGAGCTGGACAGCAACCGCAGCGCCCTGTCAGCGGCCTCCGCCTTTGCCATAGCAACTGCGGGCGCCAACGAGGGCACCCCAAACAAGGAGAAGTACCGGAGGATGTCCCTGGCCAGCGCAGGTACAGCGGGCTCTGCTCACGGCCGGTGATGACAGCCGTGGCCCCGGGGGCCTGTCCCCCTTCGAGTGCTGAGTGCTTCCTGCTCCAGGCTTGGCCAGCGCTGAGGCCCCTTCCTCCCCACCCCACCTCTGCTGCTTGGCAGACCTCTGTTCAGAGTAAAGCCCACGGCCCACAGGAGCCTCGGCCCCCACGCCACCACCCACTTCCACGGCATTGGTCCTGCAGCGGGGGCCCCAGAGAGCTCTGATCCCGCGTGACCCTGTCTGGAGAGGCTGCCAGAATCCTCCAGCAGCCCTTGAAAGATCCAGAGGTCCAGTAGAAGTGGACATGTGTGGACTGTGTCCACTGGGAAGTTGTGACATCCAGTCTTACTGGTCAGGACCTGGACTGGCTGTTGAACCTTTTCTCATCCCCTGCCCACGGCCCTCCCACCAGCAGCCATGCGGAGCAGCCCCGCTTACCCAGCACTGGGGTTTGAATCCAGTTCAGAGCCGGGCTCTGTGTCTTATCCTCACATTCCCTCTCTCCCATCTGCTGCGTGTGCCGCCAGGGTTTCCCCCCGACCAGAGGAACGGAGACAAGGAGTTTGTGATTCGCAGAGCGGCCACCAACCGCGTCCTGAACGTGCTCCGCCACTGGGTCTCCAAGCACTCTCAGGTGGGTGGGAGCCCCCCGGGCGGGCTTCTGCGGACCCGATGGGACCGCGGACCCCAGGAAACTGCCGCCCTGATATTCTCAGAGAACCTGCTCAGACCCCTAGGAGGGGATCAAGAACATTCAAGGCAGGGACAAGGGGCCTCTGTCTCTCCACCTCTGTCTACAGCAGGGGTCCCCCCAGAGCCTGGGCCAGGGGTGCAGCCGTCAAAGGATGGTCCTTGCCCAGTGCCTTTTACCTCCGGGTCTGTAGGCTCCCCGGCGGCCTGCCACACAGCCAGTGAAGAGGGAAATGAGGCAGGCGGCCTGCCGTGGGCAGAGGCACAACCTGCCGCCGCCTCATCTGGCCGGGCCAGGACCACTGCAGGGCAGCTGGAATGCAGTAGCCAGAACCACCCTCCCATCTTCCCTGCAGGACTTCGAGACCAACGATGAGCTCAAATGCAAGGTGATCAGCTTCCTGGAGGAGGTCATGCACGACCCAGAGCTCCTGACCCAGGAACGGAAGGCAGCAGCCAACATCATCAGGTGAGGGCCGAGGACGGCCTGCTGGGATAGGGACCCTGCCTTCTGCCTCCAGAGGCAAGGAGGTGGGGAGGGCCCTCCCTAGGCCAAAGCACTGCCTCAGGCACGTGGGCCTGGAGGACCTCATAGCCCTGGGCTTCCTGGGGGCCGGGCACGCCCTCTGCAGCCAGGCTCTGGAGTGGGCAGTCCAGGTGTCCTCCCTTCTCCTGCCCCATCAGTCCCTGAGCTCCTTTGAGACAAGAAGGCTGCCTGCTTCTCCATCCGCGCCCACAGCTCTTACAACTGTCCAGCCCATGCCGGCCTGTGTGGTAGCCACTAGCGACATGTGGCTGTTAAACCTTAATTAAAATTAAAGAAAATTTAAAATTCAGTTCCTCAGTCACACTAGCTATAGGTGGCTGGTGGCCCCATGTCGGGCAGCGTAGATAAAGAACATTCCTGTCTCTGTAGAGGGTTCTGTTGGACAGCACAGACTAGCCCCTGTGTCTGGATGTTCAGGGAATGTCATCCCCAAACCTACACTTTTTCCTCCTGCCCAGACTGCCTCTCCAGCTGGAGTCAGGGGTCAGGCAGCCTCACGTCCAAGCCCTGCTGGCTCAGCCGGCGACTCACTGTGACCTTGGGCAAGCCCTGTCTCTGAACCTCGTTTTTCTCCCCTGTAAAATGGGTGAACAATACCCACATCAAGGACTGTGATGAGGCCACAGTGAGATCACGCTGGTGTTTCTGCAGCTCTCGGGGGCGTTGGGCACAGGCCAGCCGTCTACCCGCTGCTCTCATTCTGCTGACTCAGGCTGCCCTCCCAGCCCTGCCCAGGTGCAAGAGCTCAGGGTCAGGCCTCTTCTCCTCATTTCTTGGCCAACTCCAGCTGCCCCTCTGTGTGCCCCAGCCATGGCCTCTGACCCAGACTTTCCTGCCTACAACCCAAAGTCTCCAGCCTTCCTCCAGCCAGATGATCCGCTTTGCTTTCCCGAGGCCCATGCCGCAGGCCCCATCATTCCCTCAGGCTCAGCATCCTAGGAGCTCCTCCAGGCCTCCCTTACTTCAGTACCCAAGCCTGAGATGCAAGCACGCACGCACGCACAGTCAGCCACTGGCTCCTCCTGTCCCCTCATCTCCCCGGGAGGCCTGCAGGGCTGTGCTGGGTCCCCAGGACTTTATTGACCAAAGCCACCCTCAGTCAGGGGGCTTGTTCCGGGTGCTGCTGGGTGCAGGGGAAAAGCAGGCTGTGGAGTTGGGCCTCCCCGGTTTGGATGGTAGACACCACCCCCACCCCCACCCCCGAGCTCAGCTGTGGGAATGCCGGTGCGATTTCTCTGAGTCACCGCTTCTGCGGAGGGAGAGTCCCAGTGGCTCAGCCCAGGCCCAGCGGGCTCCTGACTGTGCCACTACCTTCAGCTTGGCTCCCAGGCCCATCCCCAGCATCCACGGTTGCTGTCACAGCCAGGGTGAAGCTCCTTGGCCTGACTCTGAGGATCCACCCTCATTCCCCACCACTGCTCAAGACCACTCTACTCAGCCACCTTTCAACACAATCCCACCTCTGGGCCTTGGGCCACGATGCTGCTGCCCCTCACTGTCCTCTGTCCCTCCTGTCTAGAAAGCTTCCCAGTATCTCCACCCTCTCTGGTCCTCCAGGCCTGGTGCTGCATCCCATCATCCCACAGGCGTGGAGGATCACCGGCCGTATGCGCAGCCCTGGGATGGGTACCAGAACAACAGGGACAAATCAGACATCACCCTGCCCTCAGGGGCCCCCGGCCAGTCTAGCAGGGGTCGGGTGCATACGCAGCCATTCCAACATGGGGAGACTGGGGCTGAGGGACCCCTAGAAGGGGACCTCACCCAGCCAAGAGGGTCAGGGAGCTGAATCCCGAGGGCAGCCCATCAAGAGGAATCAGTGACCAGAAAGGGGAGAGGAGGCTCCTGGCAAAGGAAATGGCAGAGCAAAGACAGAAGGGCAGGGGGGCTGGCATGAGGGGACGGAGAGGGGGCTGCCCCTGAGCTGAGGTGTGGGGATGGGCTGCGTGGGGCTCATTGCGCCTTCTCATCCCCTAGGACTCTGACCCAGGACGACCCGGGCGACAACCAGATCACGCTGGAGGAGATCACGCAGCTGGTGAGGCGGGCCTGCCCTCTTGCTCACCAGCCAAGCCTGTCTCCCCCGGCCTCCCCACCCCACGACCCCTAGGGGAACACAGTGACCCCCGTGGTGGTTTGCTGGGCTGTTGTAACAAAGTACCCGAGACAAATTAAAACAACAGAGTTTTATTCTCCTAGTCCTGGAGGCCAGGAGTCTGGAATTTAGGTGTCAGTGAGGCCACACTCCGTCCGAAAGCCTTAGGGGAGGCTCAGTTCGTGCCTCTTTCAGTGTCTGGCAGCCCCGGGCGTTTCTCGGTCGGTGGCAGTGAATCTCCAGTCTCTGCCTCCGCTGTCACATGGTCGTCTTCTCCTTGTGTGTTTCTGCATCCTCTTCCCCATGTCCAAGCGAGCGTCCCCTTCTTGTAAAGACACCAGTCGTTTGATTTGGGCCCGCTTCAATGACCTCATCTTACCTGAGTACGTCCGCAAAGACCCTATTTCCAAATAAGTTCCCAGTCACAGCTACCAGGATTTCAGACTTCAGCATGTTTTGGTGGGGGGATTCAGCCCATAACCCTGCCACATCCATTTTCTTCCTCTTTGGCCTCCGCAGAGATGGAGACAGAGCGGGCCCCTCGGCCCCAGGCGGGCTCACTTAGACTGAGTGACCTCCAGTCTGTTCCAAGCAGCCAGCGTGAGGACTTAGGACTCTGGGCTCTGAGCCCACTGCTCCCCTCCGCTTTCCCCCCTGGGCCCCTGGCACTGGTTCTCCCTGGGGGTGGGCGGGGCCTCTTGTTCCTTCATGAGTAGCCTGTGGCTCTTCCAGAACAAAGCACCGCTGAGCTGCCCCTGGGCCCTGACCTAGGTTCCGGAGCCCGGAAAGACTGTGCGGGGCACACCCAGTTTGGAGGAGGCCCCGGGGCCCTCACACAAGAGCAGAGGGCTTCTAGCTATGAGGGCTTTCTCATGCCCTGTGACAGGATAGTCTGTTTTGGCCTCTGCTTCCAGGGTCAGCCCCTGTCCCAGGCACACCCAGGGGCAGGGGAGCTGCCTGCTCGTCCTTGCCCAGCCGCACCTTCTCCTGGCCAGGTCTCTCGGCCCCTCAGGGCCCTGGGCAGTCCTCACCCCTCCCTCGGCTCCAACCTCTCCCCAGACCGGGCCAGGGCCCTTGGTCCTGACAGCTCGGCCATCCTGGGTCTTCAGGAGTGGGCTGAGCTGCCCACCTGCCCCACCTGCTTCAGAGGCTGGGGCCTCCTTCCCATGAGGGTCCTTACCCTGTAACATGGCGTCCCAGCTCTTGTCCCCATGTCCCAGTGGCCTTCCTGAGGTCTCCCCAATAGCACCGTGTTCCCCACCCCTGGGCTCCTGCATCTGAGCCTCTGCACAGAACCTTCCTGGCCCAGGGTGACTCTGCCTGGGGAGCACATGGACCCCCACCACACACACACCACATATACAGACATCACATGCACACATACCACACAGGCACACACATCACACACACACACAGACACACACAGGAATAGGAGCTCTTTCCTCTGCCTGTCTATGCTCTACCCTGCTCCTGTCCCATGACAGGAGCTCCCTGAAGCCAGGACTGTATTTTCTGTTCTTTCTGTCCCCGGTGTCTAGTAGGGACCCGGCAGTGCAGGCCTGCCTCAGTGACTTTTTGCTGAGAAAGCAGGCAAGAGAGACACCCTCCAGGAGGGATGGCTTGTTCCCTGGGTGTGGGGTGGCCCCCACTTTACTTCCGATCAGTGCGGCTTTCGGGGACTGAGCCAGCTCGCCAGGACCTCAGGGCAGGGTACCGGCCCCCCCTCCCTGCAGCCCAGGGGGCCCCTAGGCGGAGAGCAGGGGGATTCCTGTTCCTGACCCTCCTCTCAAGACAGTACATTGTCCCCCTCCCCCCTTTTCTCCATGCCCTCCCAGATCCAGCGGACTTTCCATGAGGCCTTTGTGCCCAAGGACACAGGCCTCCTCTAATCCCTGCCACGGGGACCTCGGTCCCCTAGCCAGCGCTTCCTGAAAATTCCCCCTGGTCACAGGGCTCAGGTGGTGGTCACCTTTAAAGGTGGTGCCGACGGTGGCCCTGGGGGACAGGGACACAGTACCTGGACGAAGGCAGGCAGCTGTCTTCCAGGCACAGGACAGGAGGGCTGTCCCAGGATGTAATCACACCTGTGGGTCCGCATCTGTGAATGAAGTTTAAAAGGAAGTTTTAGGGAGCCAGTTGTGGACCCAGACAAACCCCGAAGAGAGTGACAAACCACAGCCTGGAGTCAGGCGGCCTGGGCTCCGGTCCCAGCTGGCCAGTTTCCAGCTGAGTGCCTTGGGCTAGTCAGTAACCTCTGGAAGCCTTTGTTGTCTCGTCGCTGCACCAGAGGCAGTGATGACCAGACGGCGACCCCGGAGCACAGCACAGGCCTGCACACACAGGGCACAGCTGCAGCGGCTCCCGGCCCCCTCTGTTCCCTGTCCTCATCTCCCCTCATCCTTCTGCCAGGAAGGCCTCCCCAGGGAGGCAGGTCCCACCCAAACATTCACCAGAATCCAGGGGGAGTTTCCCTCAAGAAGTGGCCAGAGAGCCAGGAGGCGTCCTCATGGGCCTCAACAACGGGACCTTGCTCCCCTCAGGCTGAAGGCGTGAAGGCCGAGCCCTTTGAATACCACTCCGCCCTGGAGATCGCCGAGCAGCTGACCCTGCTGGACCACCTCGTCTTCAAGAAGATCCCTTATGAGTGAGTGGCTGTGGGTGCCAGGCAGCTCCTCCTCCCTTCTCCCTCCTCCCTCCTCGGGTGCCGCCTTTGGCTGCCTCCCCACCCCTGAAGCACATGCTTCCAGAGAAGCTGCATGGAGTGATTCCCCACAGCCTGAAACAAAAACGCGCGTGCCAGCAGGGATGCAGAGGATCCCTGTCCGCTTTCCTGTCCCGAGTTCCCTCCTTGCCCAGCAGCTACACAAGCCTCTCTAGCTCGGCAGTCCTTTTCTGGAGGTCTAGAAAAGCAGTATGCGCTCACGGATGTGCACACGTGTACGTGTGAGCAAATGTGCACACATGCGTGAGTGTGTGTCTGTGAGGGCTCGTGCAGGAGCAGGGCTGGGGGCAGCTCTCGACTTTGAAGAAGCCCACAGGCCTGGCTGTTACCTGCTCTGAGCTGCAGTCAGTCCCCCTCCAGGTGTCGCTTGTAACTGTACTACCAACGTAATTCTGTGCCGCTCCTTCTCCATCTAACAGTATACCAAAATAGTATCTGTAAACCCCATTTTTAATAAGTGCACAGCATTCCCTGACAGCACCCTAACTCCTGGGGTTGTTTCCAGTTTTCACTTTTATATTTAAAGCTGGGGTAAACCTCCTCGTAACTAAATATGTCTCTGAATTTCTGACAGTTGTCCTAGAATAGTTTCCCAAAGTTTGAATCACCGAATCTGAGGCTATGAATCACTGTAGGACTTTGCAGCTGTGCTTTCCAGAAAGGTGCCCCCCCCCAGTATGCACAGAGGCCCCACCGACCCAGGTGCTGCCCCCCTAGGTGGAGAGCTGCAGCATTTTAGGAAGCTACCACATGTCCTGGATGTCGAGACAGTAGTTATTCGTGATCTGCTCCCTCCAGCCCAGGGAACTCTTTCCAGGTCACTTGCACAGTCCCCGGAGGCCTGGACTGTCTGTGGCTTCCCGTGAGTCACCATGACCAGAAGCCGCCACTGGCTTGGCTTGCAGGCTCCTTTATCCATCGCTCTGGCCCCTTTTTGTGGCCTTTTGTCCTCCCCATTCTACAGACCAGCATCTGCAAAGTGACTTTAAAATGTGAGTTCTCCCTATCAGGAACAGGATCCCAAACCAGACCCGATGAGCCCACCGCACTTCACAGTATAGGATGTGCCTCCCCATACCTTCTCTCAGTTCAGCTTTGCAATAAGCTGTGAGGAAAGTATTGTCGTCATTCCCACTTCACAGATGAGGAAACTGAGGCCCTGAGATATCGAGGGCTTCCCCAAAGCCACCCAGCTGGTACAAGACCAAGCTGGGCTTGACCCCAGGGCCCCTCCTTCTCAAGGGCTCTGCAGAAAGTTACTCCCCTAGAAAAGACAACTTGAGAAAGGAAAGAAAGCAAAGAAATCAGCACAGCAAACTTAACCTCACTCGCCCTGGGTTTCTCCCTTACAGGGAGTTCTTCGGACAAGGCTGGATGAAACTGGAGAAGAATGAAAGGACCCCTTATATCATGAAGACCACTAAGCATTTCAATGATGTGAGTACGGGGGTTGGGGAGGGGAAGGCAGAGCCCTTTCCTGCAGGTTTCTCTTTGGCAGGACCCTTAAGAGGCTGGGTGGAGAACAGGCTGTACACCTGGACAGAACCAGGCCACCTGGGTCCTCTCCAGCCCTGTGAGTTATATGCATAAAAATCTCACTTAAAGCTCACACCAACCCTAAAAGACAGGGGCTGTTACCACGTTTTAGATATAAAGAAACCAAGACTCTGAAGGACAGATGCCGGAGGTCTCCTGACCAGTGTCTGCTGGCTCATGGCCTGTCGCTGCCGCACAGTCCAGCTGTGAGGGAAAAAAAAATCTCTCCCAGCAACTTCCCCACACTTGCCCAAGCTCCATCCCCTGCAGCCACTGGGACAAGTCCACTCCCAGCCTCGTGATGGCCCTGAGGTCAATTGCACTCAGTATCTTCATTCCTCTGTATTTAATCTTCAACCCAAGAGCCTTTGGTGGCTGGAAGTGGGAGCACATGACTCCACTTGTCCTGACTGCCGGGTTAAGGCCACAACATACCGACCACAGCAAGGGACTGGCCCCCTGGCAAACATCCCTCATCCTGGGAGGGTCCTCAGCCCGGAGGAAACAAGAAGGGGCCAGGTACTGATGCTCAGGGGAGGAGCCCCGTAGTGAACACAGCTGCAGGATGGAGAGCCGCAAGTGTAGCAGGAGAGAGTAAGTGATGGGGGCAGGTGAGGCCCCAGGAAACACGCGCCAGGCCTGTGTCTGACCACACCTTACCCACAACCCCAGCCACAGCACCAGGCAGCAAAAAGCCTTCCCCCCACCCGCATGCCCCGCCCCACTGTGTGCCAGGACTCAAGTAAGTAAAAGGCGAGAAAATGAAGTGGGCAATTATTGAATATTGACCACATGCCAGGCACCATGCCAAGGGTTTCATATAAGCATCGTCTTGTTTAATCTTGTTACTGTCATTTTTATTTTATTCTCTGTTACGGATGAAGAAACTGAGGCTCAAAGAGGTATTATTATCCCCAATAATCAGCAGGAGAGCCTGCTTTGAACCCACGCCATCCACCTTCAGAGGGCTGCCCTTGTCACTACCTGGCATTTGGCTATCTCTGTTAAAATCCAACTTTTTTTTTTCAGATACACAAAATGTGTGCCTCTGTGATGGTGATAATCATGGCCTGAAATTGTTTCTTAATATCTCCCTAACAGTTTTGCTTGTTTTTGTTTTTGTTTTTGTTTTTGCTGTTTCCCAATCTTGCTGCCTTTAATTTTTTTGTCTTACTGGATGGTACTGGCTAGGACCTCCAGTATCAAGGCTAGAACTAGGGGGGTGAGCAAGGTGCTCAGTGGGCAAAATTTAAGGAACTTCTCACCTTTGGATGCCTACCCGTGCACCCTGGGAGCCTCTAGACCCCGCCCTCTAGGACAGTGTTGAGAGGAAATGGTGATAGTGAATCTTGTTCTTGGTTTTAAAGAAAATGCTAATATTCTCCATCTGGGATAATGTCTGTTTCTTTATCAAGTTAAAGAAATTCTTTTTCTTATTCCTTGCTTGCTAATAATGTGTTTTTGCCATAAATGAATATTGCATTTTGTCAAATTTTTTTCTGCATCCATTGAGATGGTCATATGGTTTTTCTCCCTTAATGTTGATGTGATGAAGGACAGTTACAGATTTTTCTCTAATATGCAACCATCCTTGCATTCCAGGGACAAATCTAATATGGTCATGTTATATTAAACAAATGGGTGTGTAATTTTCCCTTCTTGTGTTGTCTCTGTCTGGTTTTGGTATCAAGATTTAGCTGTCTTCATAGAATAAATTGACAGGTGTTCCTTTTTTCTTTATTCTCTGGAAGATTTGACTAATCTATTCCTTCTTTAAAACAACAATATTGTTGTGTGGTTCCTGTACAGTAAACTACACATATTTCAAATGTACAATTTGATGAATTTTGATAGATACATACACCAATGAAACCGCCACCACAATCAAGATAGCTAACATTTCCATCACTCTCCAAGAGGTGCAATTCTCAAATTCCCAATTTAGCCCTCCACACCCCCTTTACACCCTGGTAACCGTAAGTTTCTTCTCTCTGTCTGTGAGTCTGTTTCTGTTTTGTAGATAAGTTAATTTGTGTCCTTTTTTTAAATTCCTTTTTAAAATTTGTGTAACTTTTATGTAAAACTGTCTTGAATTCAGTGTTTTCTTTATGGAAAAAAAGTAGTACTTCAGTTTAATTAAGGGTTATAATATGTGTAATGTGTTGTGTCATCACGTCTTCCTGATTCTCTTCAGTAGCTTTCCATTCTTGAATACTTTCACAATTCATTCTTCTTTATGTACATCCTTAAGAAATTTTTCTAAAGAAGATTATTTCTTGGTGGTAAAGCCCTACAATTTATATTCATCTGTGAATGTCCTTTTATCACCTTTATTTTTCAATAACAAGTAGTCTTTTTTGTACTTTTTATTTTGAAATAATTATAGATTCACAGGAAATTGCAAAGGAATGTACAGGGAGGTCCAGTATTTCCTGCTGCCTCAATTCCTTGCAGTTCTAGCTCCCTGATGTTTGGACCCCAGCTTCCCATCCCCTGGCTGCTCCAAGTCCAGCCCACATTTAGTTTGTTGGTGTGTATGTGATTGTTTGCTGTGCAGGCAGGGGAAGAGGGGACCTTGGAGATCTCTCTTACTTTATATGTGAGATCAGGGATGCCCCCAGATATGTGTCCTGTCCAAGCTCTAGTTGTGTGGTGGGAGAGTCCCTCAGAGCTTGGCTCTTCTTAACTATTTCTTCTTCCAGATAAACTAAAATCACTTTGTCAAGTTCTCAACTCCCATTACATGTTTTATTGGATTGTATTAAACTTGTGTGTTAGTTTTGGAAAATGATATATTTACATTCCCATTTGGGAATCTAATCTTTTTCTTTATTAATCAAACCTTTTATTTGATTTTTCATGTAGCAGCCTACATAGTTCTTATTAAATTTCCCATATAATTTACGGATTCCCACTGGTATTTTAAAAATACCTTTTTGTTGTATTTTTTTAATTGGTATTGCTAATGTAAAAAGACTTTTTATTTTTTTATGTTGACTCTTTAACCATCTTCCCTAATGAGTTCTGTTGGTTGTTCTAATAGCTTTCCAATTTATTCTTTTGGAAATTTTCAAATAGGCAATAATCTCATCTGAAAATAATGGTGATTTATCATCTTTACAATACTTATTCCTCTTATTTTTTTCTTGTCTTATTGCATGGGCTTAAAGATCAGTAACTTGATTGCTTCCGAAATCATTCGCAATGAAGACATCAACGCGAGGGTGAGCGCCATTGAGAAGTGGGTGGCTGTGGCTGACATATGCCGCTGCTTACACAACTACAATGCTGTTCTGGAGATCACCTCATCCATGAATCGGAGCGCAATCTTCCGACTGAAAAAGACATGGCTCAAAGTCTCTAAGCAGGTGCGGGCAGGAAGCTGGCCCCATGGCCTGCCTGGGGCTGGGCTGGGGTTGGGGCAGGGAGACCAGAGGGCCACCACGCATGGGTGGATGAAGGATGGGGTGAGGGCCAAGACTGCCAGGTGAAACAGAGAACCTCTTCTTCTATTTCACCTGGACCAGATATCAGGCCCACAGATGTGGCATTGGGACCCATGGGACTTTAATTCCCACTTGAATAATCAATACCCCAAGGTGGGAAATGTGAGGCAGTGATTATTAGTCCCAACACTCTTCTCCTTGAGTTGGGACTAAAGAGTGTTTAGTGCAGGTTGCTGAGACAGTGGTCAGATAATCTTGCAGGTCCCTCCCACTCCAGGACTCTGATTGCACCCGCCCTTCTGGCCACCAGAGAGTTAATGTGTCCCTCTTACCCATCAGAGAGCTGGCGCTCCTAAATGTGGGCTTGATCTTTATTCATTCAGAACATGAGTCTGAAAAACCATAAGGTGGATTCTTCCTCAGGAATAAAGTTCCTTGCACTGGGGTCACGAGGCGGCAGCTCTTTTGAAAGGAGGGCACAATGGGACACTTGGGCCACTTCCTGGGTGCACTTGGTGGATGCCTGCTTGTGTGCAGGAAGCTAGACAGGCACCACCAGGCAACAGGGTAAGCCTCCAGAGGCACCAATCACTTGGTTATAGTGTCTGTGGTCCTACAGCTGGGTGGGCTGTGTGGGGCCCAGTGTCTCCAAGGGGCCTATCTCATCTGGACCACTCTGAATTTGGATACTGTGTCCTCTCGTAGTTCTGTTTATGACCTGCTCCTCACCACTCTCGTCATGCCAATGGCATGTCATGATTCTACCCTCTAGGCAGGCAGCAGGTCTATAAAACCCTCCTACTTAGATAAGCAGCCAAACCCAGGACAGCCCTGGGGCATCTGTGCTGCCCTTCCACCTCCATCCAGTCACTCCAGCTCCAGATTCCCCCAGGACTGCAGAGTGCCACAGAGATACCCCTTCCAGCCAGTGAGACTGGGCCTCTTGCTTCTTAGCACACAGAGACGCCAGGGTCAGGACAAAAACTGGAAGATGCCACTCTCACTAGTGGGCTCCTGGAAAGAACAGAGGCTGGAAGCACACACGTGGCCAGATGTCGTGAATTCCTAAAGTCAGGGTTTGTGCAAGGCTGATGCAGAACCTCCAAGTCATCAAGGCTGATTGGCCTGTCGAGGTTCAGACAGGGCTATTGGCAGAGTCTGAGGGACCCGTTCTAAGTCAACATGTTTATTCTCCTGCCCTGTTCTATCAGAATGATGTCATCTTTTCCAGAGGCCTTCAGACCAGACTCCATTTTTCCACTGCTCTGGGAGTCTGGGAGTTTCCTGGCCTCATTCTCCAGCATCACCCTTATCGTGGAGGTGGGAGGGAGCCGCCCTGACCACTCTGAACTCTTCCTTCCATTCTCTTAGGAGAGTGCAAATCGAGGGCAGTTAGAGGTCAAGGTTATGATCTGGCGTGCCTTCTGCGATGTCATTCAAGACCTCGGGCCAGCCAGCCTGGTTCAAGAACTGCAGATGCCTCTGCAAACACATCCAGGCCTGCACCGTCGGTGGCAGACTGGACCCTGGTGGCTTCTCCCAGCCCTTCAGCTTGTGCCGTAGCTGTATGTCTGCATAGTGCCTGGCTCCAAGAGCCACTGGGTGGCCATGGCTGGGGCCTGGCCAACACCACCCAGGGATGGTTCACTCTCCCTCTGCAGGTATCCCAGGGCCAAAATGGCCACATTTCTTAAAGGATCTGAAATGTAGCATCCACAGCTCTTTTTTTAATCATTCTCTTAAATTTGTGGGCCCAAAGCAGAAAAGCCTGTGTCCAAGTGCAGTCTGGCTCTTGGCAAGAGTCAAGCAGTCAGGATTAGTCTGGGGCTTCTGATCTCTTCCCTTTCTTCTTCCAGCCTCTCTTCCCACCCTCTTTGAAGATAAACTTTCCATCAAGGAAGAATCAGATGATGCTCCTTCATAGGGTGATGTAGATGACTAACATACTTTTATGTGTTTCCTCTCCCTGGGATGGTTGGATTTTAGTGGAGACATAAGCCTCTCTTTGACTACAGTACTTTCTGGCCTTGGAGGGAACAGCCGCAGCCATCCAGAAGTGTTCTGTTTGATGAACAGGAAGGGATGGTGTTTAAGGGGCCACATATAATCATCTTTCTTCGTGACACTACTTCTTAGGTTCCTTGCTTAGCCTCTGGTCTCAATGACATATTCTGAGTGCCCCCCGTATTTCTGCCCACTGGTGTCCATACTCCAGCAAAGATGCCCAAGACCCCGGGGGCCTGGTATCCCAGTGAGCCTCAAAGGCTGGACACTCCTGGCTTGGCCAGAAGATACTTGAGCTGCTCCAGGTCAGAATGCACTTTCTAAGCAGCAGCTGGGAAAATCCAGTGGCCTCGCAAGGCACAGAGCTCCTTCCTAGACAGAGCAGGCACATACCTCAGGTAAGCACACAGGTATGGAAGGAAGCAAAGTGTGCCCAGCTCAGAGCCACAGATTGGCCCCAAGTGTATCCAAAAAACCCCGCACATCAGAACATCCTCTGTACATTTTTGTGGCTTCTAAGCCTGGTGATACTTCACCTGCAGCCACGTGGCCGTCTAGCCCCTCTGTCACCCACAGCTCGGGGGTATCTGAACCAGTGTTGCCTTTAAGGAACACCTGGACCTACCCTCCCATTTTCCAGGTGTGAAAGCTGGGCTCTGCTGGGAGTCTGAGAGCAGTCATCTCAGGTGACAGCAGAATCACTGCCTCGGTGTGGCTTGTCCCATCCTGGCATGTGTCTCTTTCACCAGATCCAGAATAGCTTTTTCTTTGAGCAGGGTCAGTCCAGACCAGGCGACAACACTTCTTCTCATTGGTCGGGACCAAACTGAACAGTAGGCCCTGCCTCTCTCTCCCCTTGAAGAGCACATACTGATCCCTTCTCCCATCAAAACAAAGACTTAGATTGTCGTTTCTGTGACCAGATTTCTCAGATAAAAACCAGACCCAAAGATTAGAGGTGTGCTTGGCCTCTGTGGCCAGTGTCCCCTCCAGACTGGCTGGCCCCTCTTGCCACACAGGGTACAGCTTGGTCTCCAGCCCAGTTTCTCTACCACGCTCTGGATTTTGAGGACTGGAGCTGGAAAGGAGGTCGCTAGTCATCTCACCGTTTTATACATGAGGGCGCCGAGGACCTCAGAGGGGAAGGGGTTTCCCCAGGCCGTGCAGAGCCAGGCTCGCCCCAGGGCACGCTCCACGGCACACACCTGGTCCCTTAAGACAAACTCCAGCCGCCGGAGTTGCTCCAGCCTAATGTGTGGACAGGGCCTGGCTTGGTCATTCGACAGGTGGGGGCCCTTTGCCATGGGGTTTTCTCTTCTCCATCAAGGTCTTTCCTTTGATGATCAAGGTCTTTCCTTTGATGATTTGCCAACTTTTTTTCTTGATTATTCTTCAATTTCGGTGGTATTCCTGATCTATAAAAGTGGAAGTGTGAGAAGATGGTCACATCCTTTGGGTACAGGTCATGAGAAAGATGACGATAATGAAACACCGACCGTGCCCTGTTCCGAGTCCAGCTCCTTGGAGTTACCCACCAGGTCCTTCCCAACCACCCAGGTCTCAGGATCTCGACACTTGGACCTTCTTGGCCCCACTCCCGTGTTTCTGAAAGATGCGTGCATGGGCATGGGCACGCAAAACAGAGACCCATGTCTGACTTCTCAGGAGTTCAGGGCCAAGTCCCCAGACCCAGGAAGTCCCCGAATCCACCTGCCCCATCTCAAGGCAAAGCGAAGCCCTAGAATGTGGGCCAGAGCTGTGGGCCGCGACCTGTACTGCGTGCTAGTAAATGCTTCTAATTCCTTCTAGACAAAAGCTTTGATTGATAAGCTCCAAAAGCTTGTGTCATCAGAGGGCAGATTTAAGAATCTGAGAGAAGCTCTGAAAAAGTAAGTGTGTGTCGTTTTGTCACCGTTATTTTTTAAATTGTAGAACCGCATTGCAGAGGCATTCACGTGCCACACCTGGCTGGAGCAGGAGGTCTGTCTGTCTGTCTGTCCATCTGTCTACCCCCAAGACCGACCCCTACAAGTCCCAGACCCCCAGGGCGGGTCAGCTTTGTCCTCCACCATCTACCAAAGAGATTCCAGGGTGTGGGCATTTCCCAGGAGATCAACCAAAACAGTCATGAGAAGCTGTGATGATATTCATAGTGGTGCCAGATTCCTTGATTCTAAAATGCACATTGTTTTTTTCTGTTTTAACATTTCTGACATCAAGATATATCTTAAAGTCAATGTGTTTATTTCCTGGAATAGTGTTTCCTTTTTGTACCAGTTAATTAGTCATCAGAACAAGAGTGCATTTTTACAGACAGTGGCATCTTGGAATCAAGGAAATAGTTTTACTGATAATTTACACCTTACAGTTTGCAAAGTTTGTGGCAGTGCGTGCCAGCCCACCAACATTGCCTGTGACGTGGGCTTCTCGGCCTCGGCCCTCTTGTCATTAAGACTGGGGCAGTTCTTTGTTGTTGGGTGCTGTCCTGTGCATTGGAGGATGTTTAGCAACGTCCCTGGCCTCTACGCACCAGATGCCAGTGTCCCTGCCCCGAATTATGACAATCAAGAATATCTCCAGCCACTGCCAAATATTCTCTGGGAGGCAAATTCGCCCCCGCTGAGAACCACCATTGTAAGACAGAGTCTCCCATAATGTTTCTCCAGACAAGGAAACTGAGGAGCAAGCGGCTGGCCCACGGACTTGTGGCCATGGTCACAGAGCCTGGCCTCAGCCCAGCCTGGCCTCCAAGGCCAGGGCTCTATGGTCTGCCCGAGGCTGCCTCCCGTGAGGGTCCAGGCCAGCTGTCCCAGGGCAGCAGCGACTGGGCCGTCGGCACACACTGTGGCCACACACTCAGCGTGGGTTTGCTGTCACTCTCGTTAGATGTGCACTAAAGGTGTCCACCCTGGTCTCTGCCACTGTGTTCCCCTGAACACATGCCCCCTGGGGCTGGCCCTCGCCCTCTCTCTGTCTCTGAATGGCTGCTCGCTGGACCTCAGAGAGACCCTGGGAGACCCCCTCGGGGGGTCCCTACAGAGCCCAGGAACGCCTCCCCCCCGCCCCCGTCTCCAAGGGCGCAGGTGCTCACTGCCAAAACAAGGCCCCCCAGAGCCCACAACCCCCCACAGCCGGGGGATGGGGCCAGTCAGCACCTGCAGCCTTGACAGTGGCTCTGCCACACCACACACCCGCCCCGCCAGCCTTGTCTGCCTTTCTCGTTTCCTCTCTGCCGTACTTGGTCTGTCCCTTGCCAGCTCCGTGTGCCATCGCCTTGACCATCTCCACTTTATTTGTGTCCTCAGACAGATGTCCCACCCATCTGTGCTGTCCGGCCGTCTCTCCTCCGCCTGGGCTCCCAGGAGCCCCTGTGGACTGTGCTTGTGGGGAGCTGCCCCTCCGTGCATTCACCAGCCTGTCCGTCCGCCCCCGGGGCGCCGCTCCATCTGCCTCCTTCACATGGCTTCCTCGTCCACCGCCGCCGCCGCTGCCTCCGTGGTCCCCCATTCTGTCTGAGTCCCCATCCTGACTGTCTTCCCTCTTTCAGGTTACCCGTGGCCTATGTAAGTGCCTCTTCCAGACGCCTCTGCTCCCTGCCACACGGGGCAGAGGTGGCATTCGGGCATTCTGGGTGCTAAGACCTTTATGCAGACCAGGTTCTTGCCTATGGAGAAGCCAGGCAGAGGAGGGGCAGACTGGGGCAAACGCTTCTGCGCCCTTTCTCAGGAAGCACTAAGGTTTTACACATAGAGCTCTGTTGTTGGAAGATTGGGTGGCTGTCTCACCAGGCAGAGGACAGGATCAGAGGGAGTGAGGTGGCTGCCTGGGGGCACAGCTGGTGACCCACGCAGACAGGGAGCCCATGATGGGCCCCACCGCATGGGTCCTCACACCCGTTCCATTGTCCCCAGCATCCTGTCTTTAAAAACATTCAGCCTTGTGCCAGCACCTGGGCTAGCAAATGGTCTTATTATCTTTACAGCCAAGACTGACCCCCCAAATCCTACCTTCCAAACCCCAGCCACTCTCTTAAATATCCCCAGTCCACCCACAATGCTTGCTGTGTGCGCCCCTTCAGTCCCCCACCCGGATGCCCCTAGAGGGACAGCTCTCCCTTCATTCCCCAGACCTTACCCTCCTGAAACCCATGAGACTGTCCTCTTCCCTTAGCCACCCAGTGACCAGAAGCTTCCCACAGCTCCAGGCGACAACATTTGGCTGAGAACTAAATTTAACAGTAAAATTTGGTCACCGGCTCTTTGGGGGCCATCTCCAGTTTTGCCCACTCGTCCAGTCTTAACGCGGCACACTTGCTCACCTGCACCTCTGTCTTTATCCTGAATAGGAAGCCGGCGGGAGGCCTACAGGGGACGGGCTTTCATTGTTGGCTGCTTTACATTCCTTCCCCTATGTCCCCCTGAGTTGAGGATGGAGGAACACGTCTGCTGGCTGACCAGCAGGCCATCCCCATACACCCTCCAGACAGGGTGACTGTCCATCTATCTACATGGATATGATGGATCCAGAGTCCCGCAGTTCCAGAGTGCCAGGGGCTCTCTGTCTCCATCTTTATTTTAGGCCTGTGGCCGCAGAGCAAAGCCCAGACTCCTGCTAATGAGGCAGCAGAGCAGTTAATGTCCAGGTGGCAAAAAGCAAGATTGGATCTGAGCCCCACCCAACTCCAGACCTACTTTTTTTTTTTTCCAAATCTAAGTGCTTGATTTTCCTGCACCACATGCCAGAACTGTGGGTCCTGACCCCAGGGATTCTAAGCCACACAGCTCAGCTGGGGAGGGGAGAGAGGGAAGAGGTGACCCCCTAGCTTGTCACCGCCCTTTTCCTGGGGTTGGGTGGAGAGCCAGTCAGGCCACCGCATCTTGCTTTCAGTCACTGGTACCATTTGATTCCTGTTACCCTCTTGACTTCATGAGGAATTTCTTGGTAGAGAGAAACATGAAGTCTGGGGGTCCCAAACAACCACAGACAAGATCCAGATGCCAGGTGTCACCAGGCATTAGCATGCCACCTTACACACTGCCCAGGAAACCAGCAGTGGCTTTTACATTGGGGGTGGGGCACTTTTCTCTCTGCTCCCTGAAGCATTAGGTACAGCCAGGTGAGGGCTCTGCCAAAAGAGGAAGCCTCCCTCATATCAGCTTTGTTGGCCAGACCCTGATCCAGGACAGGGCTGGATCCCACCCGTGGGCCAATGCCCACGTGGAAAGTTGAGAGCTAGCCAGACGCTGGGTGTCTCACCCACACAAAACCCTTAGCTTCCCTTTTCACTCAGATGCTCAGTTTGAGTCTGTCCCCATGCAGTGCTGCCCTTTTTGAGCCGTCCACCAGCCCTCTCTACCCTACACCTGTCTCCACTAGCCCCCCATTAGCCACTCGGAGAACCCCGTATATGTACCTACATGGCTCTGGATTTGGTTGGTTGTGTGTGTGCATGACTGAAGTGTGCTGTTCCCTGGGCCCCTCCTTCAGGGGCCCTCACTGTGGAGGTAGTATACGGGGACAGAGTTTGGTATTGGGAGGGGTGGTGCCACTTGCAAGTGACTAAATTACCTGCCATCGTCTTTCTATAAACGGATAATGCACCCCAATCAATACCTCAGGGAAATCCACCTCAGTGACCTAAGGACCCCGATTTTTTCCACTGGTCTCGGTGGTCAGAGACCCTGTGAGGCCTTCAGAAACACCCTGCACCCTTCAGTCATTCACAGTCAGCAAGCAGTCACTTGGCCTCCCCTTCTCCATCTGAGATCAGAGGTCCTCTGGGAGCTCCAGGCTACCTGGTCACCATCACAGGCAGGGGTAGTGGGGCACCTCCCAGAACCTGCCGGCCAGAACCCAGCGGCGGCCTGAGCCGTCCAGGTCCAGGGTGGCTTCTCAGACCCTTGAACTCTTTCCCCATCAGATTCACGAGCCTGTGCTTCAGACTTGGAGTTTGACGGAAAGGAAATGAAAAGCCAGGCATGGAACGATCATGGACTATAATGGTCGGAAGGACCCAAGGAGGTCTGCCCGTGACCAGTACGATTCTTGCTTTTTTTCACAACTCACAGTAAAAAAACATTTGATGATGTGACCAGGTGTACAAATGCACGCATGCGTAAAAGGAACAAAAATTTCACAAAGCAACATAGATCTTTAGTCCATTCGATGAACTCAGATATTTTCTATTCTTTTTTTTAATTTTAAAAAAATCTGGTCAGCACCCACTAAATTGATTTCAGCACTCGTGAAAGAGTCAAGCCCTACAGTTCAAAAACCATTTCTCCTGTCCGCTGTTCCCCAAGTTTTAAGGCTCTGCCTCCTTCAAGACTGCCACACCCATGTGTCAGCTGTGTTTGCATTTATTCAATGGTATCCTTTAAATTGACTCACTAATTCCTCAAGATAAACTCAAATAAGGAAAACTTTCAGGACAGCAAATGGGAAACCAGTGTATGCGCCATAAATACCCCGAAGACAAAACAATGTTATTAAATTCTGTCCCACTCTTGATTTTTGCCTGCATTCTGATCCTGAGTGAAACCTGTTACTATTTGTTCAAAAAGGAAAAAATAGGGGAGGAGAATGGCAGGTGTTAGAAAGTATCAAAGCCACACTGTCACCAAATGAGCCCTCTCCTTGAGCGCTAGGGGGGAAAGTGAAAAGCGGATGCTTCTTCTCATATGAGTCAATTATTTAAATAGTGTCTGGGCATCACCTAAAATTAAGTCTCAGATGACTTAAAATTGTCTTAGCCAGCATCAGTTCTGTTGTATGAGGGGAACCTGAGGCCCAGACAGGGCAAGAACTGGCTCAGAGTCACACAGCAAGCAGGCAGAGGCCAGGTTCCTGTTCTTGCTCTGCCATCCTCCCTGGCTCACCCCACTGTGGAGTGGCAGGAGTGCCACAAGGAGACGAAGGTGAGATGGGGTAGAAATGAGGGTCACCTGTAATGCGTGCACAAGCTCACCCGCACCTGTGTGCTGAGCTGAGCGGAGGCTGCAGAGCACTGTGTGAGGAGTCCCCTTAGGGAGCTATATGGAGTTCTACCAGAGTATAGTGACCCTGGGCCCATCACAGAGTCACCTCGCACCCCACCCAGAGGCACCAAAACAAGTTGTGATGGCATAGTAACAGAAGCCCCGGCTTCAGAGCTACACATCAGAGGAGCCTGGCCCATCACTCCTGGGTCCCATCTCCCAAAAAGGCCATCTCCCAAGAGTCACCAATCATGGGAGCCATCATCCAACCCCATGCCCAGAAGCCACTTCCAGGATGGTGATCCCGTGGGCATGGGTTTCCTGCACCGGCGGTCCAGTGCCCGGGTGGGCAGAGATCCTAGTGAGGCAGAGGAGAAGCCTCGGGGAGAGGAAGAGACTAGGGGGCTGGCTAGGGTGGCTGGTGGTGACTGGCAAGAATGGGGCTAGAGGCTGCAAAGCCCGCCCAAGGAGGTGATTCTAGGGTGGGACTGGGATGGAGAGTTTCAGTGGTGAGACAGGAAAGGCGGGCTGGGAGGGGGCAGGGGGCGGAGCCCAGGACGCCATCTGGGAGGGAGAACAAAGAAGTAGAGAAGGGCTTTCTGGCTCGGGTGGGAGGAGACAACTGATTGAGAAGCCCCAGCCCCAGCCCCAGCAGGCACCGTGTCCCCCAACCACCCGAGTACCGACCCTCATATCCAGCTGGAGGCCCGAGAGCTACTGTTATACTTGGCGAATAGAAATCCCTTTCCTCCAGCAAAGCAAGAGGTGCATGCGGGGTGTTCTGTTCTTGGTAGAGACTCGTGTTTTTAAGTGAAAAACTTCTGTTAATGCCATTTGCTTCAAAGTTGTGACCCACCCTGTGTCCCTTACCTGGGGATGTACCTCACTGACCTGGCCTTCATCGAAGAGGGGACGCCCAACTACACGGAAGACGGCCTGGTCAACTTCTCCAAGATGAGAATGGTGCGTTTCCCACAGCCGGGGAAGGCGGGGAGGGCAACAAAACCCAGGCGCCAGCCCCAGGCCCACCCGAGCTCTGCCCGCCAGGCCCCCTGCTGCCCCCCACAGGGCACACACATCGGGGAGCCTGAGCCCAGCTTCTCCAGGAAGAGGAGTCACTCCCTCTAATGAGCAGTTAGCATCTGGCAGGCCCCCAGCCAGGTCTGCCTGCATTTCCTCCTTTGATGCCCGCACGTGCCCTTACTGTTCTCCGCCTTACAGGTGAGCAGGCTGAGGCTTGGAGTAATCAGTGACCAGCCCAAGGTCACCCCTAAGTAAAGGGCAGAGCCGAGTCTGGGGCCCGCATCTGCCTGACTCCGCCTCCTGCGCCTTTACCCATACCGCATCCCTAATAGTTCATATGAGCATGTGCTTTATGCAGGCAAAGCGATAGCACTCCTGCAACATCTCCTAAGCAAGTAGGTTTCCAGTTTCCCCAGAGAAATCTAGGACCTGGGAGGGGAGGTCCCACTCCAGCTGGGAGCCTGGTTTCTAGCCACCCTCCCTCCAACCAGAGCCTCCACTTGGATTTGTTCTGGGTCAAAGACTTCCTCCTAAGGTTTTATTTAATTGGCAGGGTCTCTCTGTCACAGGCGAGTTGGCAGCACTTTCCTGGTGACAGGACGGGGGCCCCTTCACGAGGGCTTGCACACAGTGGGCACGGAGAAAGGGGCACAGGCCTCTAGCTGTTGCTGGAGTCGAGGGGGACTGTTTGAGGCACCATGAGGCACCATGGATCAAGTTATTTATTTTTCTCTCAATCACATAGTGTAATTAACCTATAGATTTTTTTTAGCAACAAAATCACTCATTTCTTTTCGTTACTCAGAGAAAATGATTGGTAATTTTCTTTTACTGTATTATCTCCAAGTCTTTAAAACAAGTCTTTCTTCATCATCTATAATTCTGATCTTACTGAATATACATTTTACAGTTCAGACTATGCATCTTTTTTTATTGAAGCCTAGTTGATTTACAATATTGTAATAGTTTCAGGTGTACAACATAGTGATTCTGTATTTTTACAGATTATACAAATGAATAAAAAGATTGTGGTGTGTATATATGTATATATGTACACACACACACACACACACACACACACACACACACCACAATGGAATATTATTCAGCCATAAAAAAGAATGAAATTGTAAGAGGTACAAAGTATTATGTATAAAGTAAGCTACAAAGATATATTGTACAATGTGGTGAATATAGTCAATATTTTATAATAACTATAAATGGAGTATAAACTTTAAAAATTGTACAACAGAGTCACTCTGTTATACACCTGTAACATATAATATTGTACAACAACTATACTTCAATAAATAAAGAGTGAAATTCTGCCATTTGCAGCAATGTAGATGGACCTAGAGGGTATTATGCTTAGTGAAATAAGTCAGAGAAAGCCAAATACTCTGTGTCATCACTTATAACCTATAGATTTATAGACTCTTGACAAGTATCAGCCATGAGAGGCAGACTGCTCTTTTAAAGAAAACTGTGCTGTTAAGAGACCGACTACAGATGTGGCTGTTTGAGGCCCCTTCTGTTCTGTAGAGTTGGGGGTTGGTACCAAGAGAGCAGACTGTCTTCTCAACTCTCCTTCCTGCCCGCAGATATCCCATATTATCCGAGAGATTCGCCAGTTCCAACAAACTGCCTACAAAATAGAGCACCAAGCAAAGGTAAGCAGATAGCATTTTCAGTCACTTCTGCTTTTTCGCAAGTGCCCTGGCTGCCCCGCCCTTCTCCCTCCCTTCCCAACCCTGCACCCAACCGCTCTCCCTCCCTGAATTCCCTGGGCCGGCTCTTTCAGGAAGCCCGGTCCAGGCCCCCGACCCACAGTGAGTCCTCCTTCTTTGGACTGGACTTGTGATGACCTTACAGCCTCTGTCTGAGTTTTACCTGCCACGTGATGCTTTCTAATCATGTCTGATCTCCCCTGGGGCCGGACAAACAATGTTAATCACATCTTTTTGAAACAGCTCACTAGTTTCAAAATTCACAGATAGAAAGGGCACACCCGGAAAAGTCCCTGGTCACCAAGTTCCCCTCCCAAAGCCAACTGTTACACCCATTTCTGAGTGTGTATGGAAACACAACCAAACTTCTTTTTACTATAATATAGCACATTGCTCAGCATCATTCTTTTCCCCTTAATAACGTATCTCGGAGATCCTCTCGTATTGAGGCAGAAGCATCCTCATTCTTCCTTACAGCTGCAGAGAAATCCGTTTATTTAGCCAGTCCTCTGTACTGATGGACAGTTAGGTTGTTTCAGTCTTTTGCTGCCACAGGCAAGACTGGGGCAAAAACACCTTGTACACCCAGGAATGGGAGAGTGCTGTGAGACTGTGAATCCAGGGGCCTGCGTCTGCTGGGGTCTAGAGGGGCTTGCCTGGGGCAAAGACCCAGGAGTTATCCTGGCTGGGGTGAGGGCACAGGCTTTCGTGAGGTGGGAGGGCCTGCCTGAGAAGGGCAGACACCCCAGGTGGCTGCCATGTAGCATCAGATTGGCCTGAACCGGATAGGACTGGGGGCATCTAGAAGGATCTGGAGCCTTGTCCTCAGGATGATGGGAAGCCCTGAAAGGAGCCTCCAGAACTAGATTAACTTGCATTTTTAAAAGATCCTCAAGATCAATTTCCCTAAAAAATTTTGACCCATTTACAGATAAAAATAACTGAGATTCACTAATCCAGACTCCAGCTCTGAATCCTATGTGACTCTTTTCTCTGCTCAGAGATGTAGTTGCTTTCCACTCAGCCTCTTAACCTCCTCGTTTTCTGTTCACAGAAATATCCAGCTCCAGACACACCCTCAGGCTCACCCAAAAATCAAGCTCGTATTATGTCTCCCTTCTGTGTTCCTTTGTGAGAGATTTGCCCTGCTCCCTGCCACGTTCTGTGGACTCACAGTCTGTCTAGTAGCTGATAACCACAGCAGAGAAGAAGAATCAGTGGGTTGGCCAGCTGTGCCACTTTTCCTTGCTCTTCCTTTACGCTCCCAGCAAGTATTCACTGAGCACTTACTGTGTGCCAGGCACTGCATCAGGCCTTGGCCCTTTTCTTAAATTCTCCCTCGAGCTGCCATGTGCAATACAAACAAGTGTTACTGCCTTTCAGACACCTTTCCTTGACAGCTTTGCAGTGGTGGTATCTGCTGCCAGTCTCCCATTAAAGCAAAACTTTTTAGGGGGGAAAAATTGCTCATTACAGAGGAAACTAACTAGTCTGGTGATCCCCAGAGAGTTTGGGAGGGTAGAGATTTTGTGCTCTGGAAAGGGCTGTTCACTTGAAGCTACTAGCTAGATATAAAAGACAAATTTATTTCACTTGGCTGTAAAATCGCCACGCCTTTGTCAGTGGGTACGGGCTAATCTAAACTGTGGCATCTGAGGTCATCTTCCTGGAGGTGCTGGGTGGGAGCCATTAACCAGATGTAATCATCATTTCATCTGTGACTAATGGTCAGCATCCCAGACAGCTGGTTCTGTCCTGCACGGTAGCAGAGGGTCAATTAGCAAAGACACATGCAACAAAGACTTGATTTTTCTCAAGCATCTATCAGAAGATTTCCAAATACGTAATAAGAAATACAACTTTTTTTCTTTCTTCTGCTCTGGGTTTCTGTGGGGCAAGACAAAAACAGACCTTCAGTTTCAAACCACTGAGAAGTCAGTGAACATTGGAAAGGGTCTTTTTGAAGGGGGGAGGGGGGAGCTGCCGGTGAGGTTTGGGCTCTGACTGCATCACATTTAACACCCGGGAGTCCAGCAAAACACTTGGGAGCAGTGTGAAGTGGGTCAGGAGAAGGAAGGAGAATGATTTAATCCATGTGGGGAATCTTCCTGATTTTCCACTCTAAGACTTTGCCCTGGGGTGAGCCTCATTCAAAAAAGGGAAACAAAGAAAGGTCGGAGGGTGGGGAGGCTCACATGGCCTCAGTTTCCGCTCTCTCCTGGGTGAACATCTCTCAGTTCTACGTAATCCTGGTGTTTAAGTACATTTTCCAACATACAGAAATGTTGCAAGAATTGTGAGCACTCACACCTCCATCACCTAGATTCTACAATTGACGTTTAAGTGTATAGATATGGATGGTTTTTTAATATGAGCCCCAGATAACTTCATCTAGCATTCAACCAAAGAAAAAGTGGCCAAGAGTCATTTTGACCATATGTGATTTTAAATTGCTATTAAACAGTACTAAAGAAAAGTAATACTAAGACAAAACGCTGCTTAATGCATTTTTTGCCTCATGTGCAAACCTGAACCCCCACCACCACCACCCCCATGACAGTGCCTGGTTCCCAGGAGACACCCAGGATCCACAGAGTATCACGGAGGTCCCATAACCCTGCACTCCTTTTTCTCTTTTCCTTTTCTCAGGTAACCCAATATTTACTGGACCAATCTTTTGTAATGGATGAAGAAAGCCTCTACGAGTCTTCTCTCCGAATTGAACCAAAACTCCCCACCTGAAGCTGCAGCCGGCCCAGACCCAGCCGCCCCCATGGACACGTGCTACACGATATTGTACATACTCGTTTGGTTTCTCTGGATTTTCTTCTTTAGTATGTGCTTCTCCAAGAATACAGATCCGTTCTTGTTCTTAGATTCCTGTAGAACCAGAATATGAATTTCTGCACCATTTAAGACTTGGCCCATCCACCCCGCTCCCCCCTCGTCTCCTGCAGTGCCTGTTTCTTTTCAACACCTGTCCTCTTAGTCTGTCCTTCCCAGCCCCTCCCTCTTCTCAGAAGGGAAAACAGAACCCGCGCATACACGAATCTTAGGCACCAGTCCTGCTTCTGTCCGTCCCCAGCCCAGATCCCTGGGTTGAGTTGGCCACCCAACATCCTCCTGGCATGTTCCATGTAGTTGTTCTAACTGGGTGGGGGGTGGGGGGAGGCGGGAGGGGGAACTCTACCCTGAAGTCCAGTCATCGACAAATCTTCCCGCTGATGGTGATGCCAATTTCCAAAGCAGCTTTTTCAGCCAAACTCCGCAGGTCTCAAAGCTCCCCCGTCTCCCAGCGACCTGGGGGGAAGGGAGTCCTGTCTGCTGAGAACCACGCCCCGCGACACCAACGCCACCACCTCGTTCAGGCCCCACGTCACTCCTCGCTCTAGGAATAACACCAGGTAGCATGAATAGCCGTCTCCATCACACTGGATGAGGCCCTGGAACTTCCCGAGGAAAACGGAATCACAACACAAAGTCGCGCCGACTTCGGCCGACCGCTGCCCAGCACTCACTGCAAGTCGGGAACACCAAAAAATGTCACTTTTCCTCTTTGAGCCGCCTAACGGTCACTACAAGCTTACATTGAGATGCTCCAAGTCTGTATGCCTTGTGACAATAGTACCACACTGTAGATTTAGGAAATCAATAACCAAGTGTTTTTATTGCATATACTGTAGTCCTGTCTAAACGCCTTCTAGCAGGAATATAGTACCGTAGTGCTTATTCTGTGAATATTACCATCTATTTTTTACATTGTACAGTATAGAGAACACAGGTTAACTCTGAAGTGGCAGGCATGCTCCACTCCAACAAACAGACAACTTTTGCTGTAAGCAATACCTAGTGGTATGAGAATTCTATTTCAAGTCCTACAATATTTCAACTTACAGCTTGTTTGGAAAAAAAAATTTCCATTTTTGTAAAAATATATGTTTCCTGATTACCTCTTGCTAATAAATCTATTCTATCTCAGGGTGAACACTGGAGTTTTGATGGGTTTCATTCATTCACTCGAGGAATGTTTGGTGAGCACTTGGTCCTTATCAGGCCCTGGGCTCAGACCAGGGGTCTGGAATGCTAAGGGGCACGGCCCCTGCCTTGGGGGCCTCATAGTCTGATGAAGGAGATTGTTACAGTTTTCTATTGCAGACAAATCACTCCAAAACTTAACGGCCAGAAAACAATTTCTCACAATTCTGTGAGCTGACCGGGCCCACTTCTCGCTTGGGGTCCCTTGTGAAGTTAGTCACACAGCGGTTGAGGCTGGAGTCATCTGAAGGCTCGACTGGGCTGGGTGTCCAAGATGGCGCTCTCACGTGGCTGGAAGTTGATGTCAGCTGGGGGCTGCACTGGCGCTGTACACTGGAGCACCCACGCGTGGCCGCTCCACGTGGCTTGGGCTCCTCACAGTGTGGCAGCTGGGTCTGAAGAGCAGCCTTCCAAAAGACTCAGGCAGAAGCTGCAAGACTCCTTCTGACCTGACCTCCGAAGTCCCAGCACATCACAGCCACGGTGGCCTACTGGTCCAGCACGTCACCAAGGCCAGCCTGTCACAAGGGGAAGGGAATCAAGCTCCTCCTCTCAATGAGAACAAGAGCAGAGCCTGCAGCCATCTTTAAGTTGCTAGAGAGACAGACCATTTGAGCCACACTGTCACAGGATGGTGCAGGAAGTGCCTCGGGGACACCAAGGAGGACAGGGCCATGTGGTAGGGCGGGAACTGGAAAGAACTCCACAAAGATGTGAGGAGGTTGTGGGATAGGTCAGGACGATTTGCCAGAAGAATAAGCGGGCAAGGGCATGCCAGGCAGGAGGACCAGAAAAAGCCAGAAGCATGAAAGCACATGCTTGCTCAGGGAAGGGTTAGTGTGAGCGTGCAAGCTGCTGGGTTAAGAGATGGAGGTAGGATGGCAATAGCAAGCCACAGGGAGCGCAGAGAAAAGGATTCCCAAAGAGGAGGGCAGCCCAGGGCCGGCGCCAGTGAGGCTGGAAGCATGCGTGGGGCCGCGGCCGTGGCTGGCCACCACCTCGAGCCCCCAAAAGAGAACAGAGAAACGTGCTGTGGACGAAGAGTCTGAGCACCTCCCCTGGAGAAGGGACCCTGGGTCCACCCCGGACCCTCCCTCACAATCACCCACATGAAGGGTGGGGCACGGGCACGAGGCCCGCTGGGAGGCGAGGCCCGTTTCCAGAACGTCCCTGGGACCCGCAGCCGGCTGGCTCCGTAACCGCTTTTCTGTTTCCTTCAGACACAGAACGGTAGTCCAGGCTGCTGGGAGGATTCAGTGAGCTGCCCCCAGCTGCCGCACGTGAGGTGATGAGCGTGTGGCAGGGGCTTGCTGGCCATTAACTGTTGTTCCTTCATGAACTCTTAGTAGAGCCCTCACCTGGTTTCAGGTCGTTTCAGACACCATGGACTTAATAATGGGTGGTGCGATCAAGGTCCCTGCCCTCACGAAGCTTATGTGCTGGTGGGCGGTAGGCAGGGACATTTTTTTTAAATACCCAGGGCAGGGGGACAAGTACCACAGGCACAGTCAAGCAGGGCAGTGTTGAGGCCACCCGTGGCTGGGACATCTGACCTGAAATTTGAATGATGCAAAACCATGATGTCATCGTTAAAGAAGCCGTGAGGTCAGCACACACCTGAGTGCAGGCGCGCCTGTCCTGGGCTGGTGTGAGGCACTGGGCGATTCTCTGAGGCTTTCTTCAGGGCCAGGATTAGGGTGAAGCAAAAGAAATACCCACTTCAGGGGTAAAACAAAAGGAGCTGCCTAAAAACTCAGTAATAAAGGTAACAGTCTAGTGCAATAATTTTTTTAATATTTTAAAAGTCAAAAATAATGTAAAAAATCCATGATGAACAAAATTTTTCGATAAAGACAGGACGGTATGGCAGATTTTTCCTCTTGCCTTGGGCTCCCTCCAGTGTGGCTTGGTGAGGCTCGGTGCCCCTTCTGCAAGTGAGCTGAAGGATGGCTCTAGTTTGAGAAAGGAAGTAGCATGGCTTAGGCTATGGGCTGGTTTGTGGGGAGGGGTGAGGAGCTTGGTCACGCCCTCTGCTTGTCTGTGGTTGGTTGGTTTTGAAGGGTGTCTCTTGGCCCCAACTCCATGAAAGAGGTTTTTAAAGGTCAGTATGTGAGAAAGATTGCACCTGGTCCATGAAGGTCCTTTGGCATAAGTGGGTTTCACAGTGGCAGATGGCGTCACCCTTAGGCATGTGGCTGTCCCCTCACCGGCTTTTTGCTCTCACCTCATGTCTAATGATCATGGTCTCCCTCCCAGCAGAGGTCTTGCCAGGACCTCTCAGGCTGCCTGGGCAGAAGTGTGAATTGTTGTCTCAGGAGGACGGAGGTGTCACTCAGACCCACCCACCCTCCAAGCGTTCATCGAGCGCCCGTGCGTGCATGCCTCAGCACCCCGCCTCGTCCTGACCTCCGAGAGCTCGTGACCTAGCTGAAGAGAGGAAACATGAAACAATAACCTTCCTGTTTCTAACTCTAGCTTCACACCTCCCTCCAGGTTCCTCATAACTAACTGCCTAGAAGCTGCCTCCACCTGCCTTACTGCCACCTCACTCAGCTGGACCAAACTGGCCTCATCAACCTCCCCGCCACACCTGGGCCTCCCACCTGCGCCAGCCAGAAACCCAGAGCTCACCGCTGCCTCCCACTTCAAAGGGTCACCTGACCAGTCAATGTTAACCTCCTCATTACCCTTCCAGCCTGGCCACAGCTCTTCATTGCCTCTGTCACCACCCTGGAGGAGCAGCTCTCAACTTTTTTAACTAAAGGACCCCTCCACACTCTAAACTATTGAGGTGAGGGCCCTCCCCCCCCAAAATAAGTTGCTTCTATCAGTAGACATAATTGCATAACTGATTATTTTATTTGAAACTGAAACTTCAGGAAGGTTTCAAAATAATTATGTATTAATTCATTTAAAAATACCACCACCAGCAATTTCACTTCCGGGAATATGCCCAAAAGAACTGAAAGCAGGGTCTGAGAGACGTAACTGTACACCCATGTTTTAAAATTCTTTTTCAGATTCTTTTCCATTATAGGTTATTACATTATTGAATATAGTTCCCTGCGCTATATAGTAGGTCCTTGTTGTTCATCTATTTTATATACAGCAGCATGTACACTCATTTTTCATAGCAGCATTATTCAAGATAACCAAAAGCTGTAATCGGTCTGAGTGCCGTGGCATAGACTTACAATGGAATGTTATTCAGCCTTAAAAGGGAAAGAAATTATGATAAAGACTACAACATGGATGAAGTTTGAGGAACAAAATATTATGTGATTCCAGTTATATGAGGCACCTAGAGGAGTCAAATTTACAGAGACAGAAAGTGGAATGGTGGCTGCCAGGGCCTGGAGGGAGGGGTGTATGAGGCGCTGTCATTTACTGGGTGCAGCGTTTCAGTTTGGCAAGAACAAAAGTTCTGGAGATAGAGGGTGGTGATGGTTGCAGAGCAATGGTAATTTACTTAACAGTCCTAAATTGTACACTTCAAAATGGTTAAGATGGTGAATTTCATGTTGTGTGTATTTTACCACAGTTGAAAAAGTTTTTTAATAACAAGAGCAAATGTGTTGTGTATTGACATGAATGATCTATTTTTAATGAAAAATTACTAAATTTTCAAAAACAAAAGTAATTTAATGAGAAAAGTGGCACCACTTTATGTTTTTGCCAGTCTCTTTAATGTCTGGCTGAATAGAAGCAATCGAATGCCCATATTTGCTTCTGCATCCAATCCCCTGCTGTAGCCCACTGCCATGTAGCCTTTGAAAACTCTACTGTGAAAAGGGCAAATACTGTCTTAGTAGTGCTGTGAAAGTAGTTCCAACCTCACAAAGTCCTTTTGAAAACCACTTGAGACCAAGCCACCAGTGTGCCTTGCCTGGACTTGTGCCATCCCAACCACCTAGGCTACCTACATCCTCTCTTAGGCATTTATCCTTCCTCTGGCCCATTTTCCAGTTACAGCCAAAGTGACCTTTTCAAACACAGATCTGATCATACCATTCTTCTTGCAGTTCTCTAGGAGCACCCATAGATCTCAGGATAAATTTCAAACCCTTCAACAGGACCCCCAAAGCCCCACACCATCTCTCCCCAGCCTACCTCCTGGGCTCCAGCCACACTGTTTCCAACAAAATTTCTTTCCATCTCAGGGCCTTTGCACATGCTATTTCCTCTTTCTTACTTACCCATCTTGCAGATCTCAACTCAGACACCAACCACCTCCCCAGAGAAATAGTTGAAGACAACATCCCTGCCATACATTCTCATGCCTTTTATTTCTCTTCATTGCATAATTTGTTACTTAACTCCTGTCTTCCCCAATAAAGTGTAAACTGCAGAGGGCAAAAACATGGCTCACTCATTCATCACTGCCTAGCACAGAGCCTGGCACATGGAGACATTCTACAGTGAATGTTTGTTAAATAAATGGACCACATTTCTGCTAGTCAAAATGGGAATCCTGAATCAGCAACATGGGCATTGCCTGGGAATCTGTTAGGAATTCGGGATCTCAGGTCCCAGACCAGAATTCCTCAGTCAGAATCTGTGTTTTAACAACATCCCCAAGAGATTTGTGTGCACGTGACCATTTTAGAAGCACTAGATTTGACCAAACAAATGTCATTCCAGCCCCTGGATATGTTCACATCCCACCTTTCCAACTTCACCCTCTAATCCTGCATACACCACTGAGACCACACCATCGGCTGGTCTCATCATCAATTTTTAATTTTAATTTTTATTTCAGTTGACACCATCCTTCTTCAAATGTCCTTCCCTCCAGAAGCCTTTCCTGATTTCCTCCAGTCAAGGGCTTCACCTGTCTCCATCTCGGTGCACCCACCACCTCATGTCAAAGGCCTGCGTCACTTCCCTCCCATGAGACTGAGATTCCACCTGGGCCAGGGTGGTCTGACTCGGCCGGTGTCTCCTGTGGCT